CTTTTTTTTTTCTTTCCAAAACCCCCCCTTCCCCCCCCCCCCCCCCCCCAAAAAAAAAAAAAAAAAGTTTGTTCATTATACAGAAAAATTAAGTTGTTCTTGAGTTACTGAAAATGACAAAGTTTTAAAAAATCAAATCAGGGAACTAAAAATCCTGTAAGAAAATTAATCTGATTTCTTTTTTCTTCAGAACCATTCAACTTATCTAATACAGCAAGGTCAGTTTATGATGAGTATGCCTTCCAAAGAATAAGGAAAGTATTTCGAGTGTGTGCCCTGGAGCTACGACAAAGTGGGAATTTGGACTCTGTCTTAACAAATCCTGCATAATGGTATGCCCTACATGCTGCTTATGTAACTATGATGCTACTGACAAAAATTATAAAGGAAAATTTTTGAGAAATGGCTGGCAAAATACATGTATGAACAGATTATGTGCATATTTGTGTTTTGTAATGAAAATGCATTGCAGTTGAAAAGGCTTATGAGCAGGAAGTGACTCAACAAGTCCGTGTATTGACACAGAGCCATAATTTAGAAAGCAGGCAGTTTAGTTGGTCAAAAATATAATGGAAATATAAGTATATGAGTTTTATTCTTTGAACATGAGAAGTAAGCAGAGACAACTAACAAGTAATAGCCTTGCATTTGAGTATTTTTATCAAACAAAGTTTAGAGATAACACTCCATGCTTCTTAATGATTTTGAAGCCACATATTTGCCAATTATGTCAGGAAAATTTATCCTACACAGATGATTTCTTCACTCCTCATCAATTCATCTGTCTATACCTCCTGTCATGTTTTTAATTTTGAGTTATTGTTTCCTTTTGTTATATAATTTTGAAATAAAGGTGCTTATGAATAACTATTAGAGTCTTTTTCTATGGGTGGTCCTGTTTGGATTCAATGTTTATTATAAGTTTTAAAAAATCACCAATATTGCCTGAGAGTAAATTTGCTTTTGGTGTCAATAACTTCATATCGGAGCAATTTGGGAAGGCCAAGCAGTGCAATGTCGTGATAGTTTACATATTTAGCTATTGTCATAACACAGAGTACTCGCAGAGAGAACACCTTTGTGGGGTTTGATGCCTCCACCTCCTTCACCTCTTGGAACAACTGTTCTTTCCAGTGATCGTCTGCTTGAATGAGCGATCTGCGCAAGCTCCGAAGCTTGCCCCCTAGGTGTTTTTCAAATGGTCTGACGGAACTGAAGACCCGTAGTGCTTCTTCATTGTCATTGTGGTCAAAGAAATCTCTCCAAATGTTAACATAAGCATGTTTAAGCGCATCTTTCACATCAATTCTATCGTTTGGGTTTAAAGCAAGCAGTTTGCTTATAATATCCTTTGCAGCCTCCTCCTTATCAGCGTTTCGACCAGCGACTCGGTTTTCTTTTCCAAACAAAGCACCAACAAACAGCTCCAATTTACTTCTCCCGCTTTCGTCTGCTTTTTCCTGTCTATCTATTTCACCTGAGACACCTGGTGGGATTTCCGTAAGCATGCCATCTGGCAAGTTACCAAGACACCTGATTATGGTCTTCAATCCATCAAGGTAATGTTTTGGCTGACATATGAAAACTGGCTTGCCCAATATCATTTCCACCATGATGCATCCAGCTAGAAAACTATCTGCTTTTTGCCTTTCTGTGAAGGGCAGGCTCTCCCAACTGGTTGGTTTAATGTGTGCAATAATAGACCGATCGTCTAGTTCATCTCGCTGTTCGAGTTGTGATGTCNTAGCAACGCAAGAGGTTGATCACGTTTCGATGTTTCATATATCTTCTGATCAGTAATTCTCGGTACACCTTGAGCAACCATTCTTTGTCCCTGGTAAGGTTGAACTTAAAGATTATCACTGGTTTTTGTTCTACGCAGTCTGTCGCTGCGGCAACTACACGGTCATACTGGATATTTTGTCTGTGAACAAACTGGTATCTCAGTGGCAATATAAGGCGATTTTGAGCCACTGGAATCCTTCCTGCATCTTCGTAGTAGAGATCTTCATTGTCCTCGATATTCATCGCACCAATAAGTAAAAATCTGCTGTCAGAATGTGAGCTTGATACGAACCTTCATATTACTTATGGCGCAGCTAGGTGAAAGAACATTAACTTTCTATTTTCGTTCTTCTTGCCCTCGTTATGCTGTTATTCCCATGCCCAGCAAAGTTCTTTTTTATCGCGTCTTAAGTGGTAAATGCTAACTGCACAAACTGTATGATAGCTAATTAATTTTATTTTTCGACTTCATTTTGTACCCGGGCAGTTAAATCTCAATAAGTAGGTTCCTGTAAAAAGAAGAACAACAGTTCCTAGAGGCGCAAGACTCTAGCTTAATGAGTTGGAGAGAGCTTGGGAGAACTCAAAATGAAACGATATGCCTCCATCCCGGAACATGTACCAGTATACTGAACTGTTTGTAGGTTTCTCTTCTTGAATATCTGAAAAATAACTCTTGTCCAAGGACATTAAAGATGCAGTTTGTTTTCTGGGCAGCACCTTGCTTTTACATATTTATTCAGACGAGCTGTTTTCTTCGATTACTTTCACTCTGAAATTACTGCAAGTGATCAAAGTTAATGCAAGAGCATTATTTGTGCTGATTGTTTACAGTTTCTGTGCTTTACCATTAATGACAAACATATCTGTTCGGCATACACATTGTAAAAAACCGCTGAAATTTAAAACGAACATTTCTTTTATGAGCAGACAAATATTATTTAACATTTAGCATGTAAGCATTCTTTCCGTTTTTGTATATATTTATTTTTTGCGGGAGATATACGGACCCAAAATAAAGAATGAACACAACTTGCAATATATGTTGCTGTAACAACAGCCATACAAAATCTCGGTTGCCAACCAGGCTTTCTCGGTTGCCAACCATATTGCTGTAACAACAACCCTACAAAATAGAAATACCAGAATCATATTTTATATATCAGATTGTATGTTTTTTTCTGCAAATGAAATCAAACCTTTTTGCTTTTAAATTTAAAGCATGTCAATGTCTTTCGCTCTCTCTCTCTCTTGGCCGTTATTGGGCCTACTACCAACTTTCCCCTATCGTTATTGTCACATCAATGTAATGGATTTTTTTACTAGCAAAACGTGAGCAAAGTCTGCGTTTTACGTAAACTATACAATTTTAAGGCCAAATTTGCGATAGATTTATGAACCACAAATCCACTAGCTTTGACGAGGAAATGCGTCCATTCTAGACCTTTTAACCTTTGCTTGCCGATGCTCTTTGACTGGAATCGATACGCATGCGTGTTTACCAATACAGGGGCTTAATAATCGTGCATTGTTTGTTTTTGGTGTTTGATCGGTCTAAATCAATAGTAACCGAGAGACGTGATTTCATGCACCACTTTCCTTTTATATAAAAGGTACAACAAAGAGAATTATTTAGCCTGTAATGACTATTGTGCACACTGAACGTCAACCTGTTACAGCATTCAGTCGGGTTACAAGTTTGCAGGTGGCTGTTCGGTGAAGTTTGCAACATCCAGGCTAAGATTTTAAAAAGGTAACGTAAAGAGCAAGACAAACTGACTCATACTTCTTATGTTATTATATAGAGACCCAGGAAATGGAACTGCCTGAGGACTTGAAGAAGATCCATAATAGGTCTATGTAAGGTAGAAACTCATTGAAGGGACCTAGGAAGTAGAAATAGATAGCCCTACATGTACGTGCGGCGCTCATAAATTAGATTAAATCGCCGGGCACTTAGCACTTTTCATGCATTTCTATGGTCATTAATGATATAAAAAGTTGATTTAAAATATTATACGATGAAGTGTATTTCCCTTGTTTCAGGTTAAGCCTGGTTGGCAACCGAGGAATAGTAAGTATCCTCTAACAGTAACCGTCACCTTAGACCACCGGTGTAGACACCCATAGAAAATAGCAACAAAATGACGACAGTTCGTTCTGGGGTGAAAACCAGCACTCATAAATTACCCTGGGGAACGATTTTGGTACCAGAATTTGGTCTTGGTCATCAAAAGATAAAACAACATCAAGTAGAAGACTGTGTGAATCGCCTACACTACGCCAAGGAGGCGCCCGAACAAGTCACGGTGAGGAGGGACATCAACCCTGACAGAGTCCTAGATGCAGCTGGGATAAATGAAGCGGTATGTGAAAAAAATGAAAAGGTCAATCTTTTCCTATAGAAACATCCAAAGTCAAATGAATAAAACTGCCCACATCGTACGTGTCGCACGGGACGTACGTGTCGGAAAACGCCGGTAAATGTGCAAGTCTGATTCTGGGAATGAATAATTTTGGGTTTCTTCTATTTTTGCAGCAAAACTTTTGAGAATTTTGGCTGATTAACACTCCAATTCCTGCAGATATTTAACGTTGATATGGGCTGACGAGACCAAAATATTGGAACGATCAATTTCTCATTGTGCCTATTGTGAACCAATAAATTATTATAGAGTCTAAATAACAGTAGTCCACTACTTAACATCATTATGATATATGATATATGATCCAAACGATATTGGTCTATACGCTTCCCATGTTGAATCCTAGTTGCATTGGTGCAAGAAGCGCTGCAGAGGATGGTCAGACCCAATATTGGTTTTTTTCGAGAAATAAATTCAATTTTATCCTTAATAATTCAGTAACGGTTTCGTCACTTCATGATGTTATTTTAATAAAGCAAGTTTTCGACGAGATCACAAATGCATTTGTTGATGTGTTGCAAGGACGTAGTGTTTGTTTTCCACCCTGGGTTTCAGAGGACATTGGAAACTGTCTTCTCTACCACCAGCATGCCTCTGCCGTTTCCAGCATGCTGATAGTAAAGTGAGTTTCCAGTGTTCTCTGAAACTCAGGGTAAGAGGGCGGTAACACAAGGGTTTGCCTCTCAACCAGTGCAGCTTTGAGTGATTAAAGTTCAAATCAAGCGTTAATCACAATCCCACAAAAACTATTCATACATAAAGGTGATCTTTGCCTCTTTCCTTATAGTTCCTTCCTTTTTTTCAGGTTCTGCGTTTCACAACCGACTCACGCTGTAAGACACCTGATATAAAGCGGACGCAGGGACATTCTATGTACAAGGAAATGGGTGTGGTCAACTCCTTTGCCTGGAAGGGCTATAACTGACACAATACAGAAAAAATGTCTGGCTCATGAATTTTTGCTCAATGATAGCTTGTTGATTTTTTAACAATAAATTTCAGTCGACGGATCTACGCATCGTAACGATAAGAAAGTTTGAATGACATTGATCTATTTCAGTCTTATATAACTATTTCTGATTTGAAACTACATAAAGATGCTGATTAGGAATAATATTTGATAGACCGAGTCAGTCAATAGAAGGCCCGCTTAGAAATTAAGCTCTGCCAAGGTTTGGCACCCTGAGCTTCAGAGCTAACTTGACACGATGGAGATAGGCTACAGTGAAAAGGTTAGTGTCAAGTTAGCTCTGAAGCTCAGGGTGAGGTTTGGTGGCCCTTGTTAAAAATGGGGCCTACTAGCCAACCTCGGTCCTACCACAATAAAGCAAGGACTTTTTTGTCTTCTCTCGTCAAATTACCTCTACGCAAATTTTTCTAGAACTAAAAGTTGCAAGGCCACGATAGCTATAGCAAATAAAGTTTCATTTGTTATACTACTTAATTTATTTATTGTTGTGGGCCTATGCTGTCGAACCGTGCGGGATATGAATTTTGATCGCTGCAGCCTGCAAAATATATTTTGATCTGAGATTTTTATATCTATTTTGTTATACGATTTAATTTTTATTGGTAGGCCTACAATAAAAATATTTCATATACTAGTAAATATTGTTGTTCGTATTTTTATTTATCGTTTGTAAAAGGGTGGGAGTCATTTAGAGAACTCCATACTTTAAATTGTACCTTGAAACAAGTAGGATTTTGCCCGTCCATTTTGAACATGAAGTTTCCCAGACTATATTTACGAAATAAAAAAAGTACCCTTATGAAAAACCTGTAGATCTATGCTTTAATTATAAGGGATTTTCACCCCGGATGCAGTCCAAATTTCCGCACATTTCACCTAACATTAGGACTGATTTGGCAGTTCAGACACTTTGAATAGCACAGTATTATAGGGCGTGCAAGAGTCAGTTGAAGAGTAGCGCGACAGATAATGACAGGTAATAAGACGCATTTGGGGTGGTGTGACTTCAATGACATTTTTAGGTACAGCTGTTGCAATCAAATCTGCTAATAACCAAAAGATGTGATTTTAAGCATCAAAAAGATGGTACACTTTAAGCTTTTAAATTTGGGTAATGATATGAATAAAAAGCGAAAATCATAAATTTTAAGAGAAAAAATGCTCAACGAAAGTTTAAGATCGAAACTAAACATCTAAATTAAGCCTAACTCTGCTTGCGGAGCACATGATGATTGTTATCGTAAGCAAACCTGGATGAGTTTGTGTCACAGAATCCCGTGCAATGAAAGGCATTTTAGTATTCAGCGAACTGAATGATATCTTATTTGTTAACACAGACCATGATTTTAAATTACATTTGAGAAGGAAGGCGCTTGAAGCACAATTAATTCAGGTAAGAGGAAAGCGAAACCCCCTGCCTTGACTCTTAGATTAGGTATATCAGAAAAATTTTCAAACTGATCAGAAAATTAAAATACTTATATCATCTGAAAGGTAATGCAAAAACCGGATGAAATCATTTGGAATTTTTTTAATATTCCTACAAGCAACAAAGATATTGAAGTTTTTTAACTGCAAAAATCCACCAAAAGTGTCCACACTTCTCAGCTCAAAACCTGTGCCCACTGACCAGCAGTGATCACTCAGGCGCAGCAGAGCACCCTGTGTGTCTTTGTGTGCTCAGCCTATTGTCTGGCTCACATAGCCTGTGACTAATCAGGGCAGAGCTATTTCCCTGTGGTAATTTTCACATCATGTAATATTGCGGATTAAATTAACTATACTTCGCAACCTTCAAATTTCATGATTTTTCTACATAATATAGCAAATTTCATAAACTTTGCTGGATATAAATTTCAAAAAGATGATACCAGCACTTACCTGAAATTTTTTAGCATTTTGTAGAGGCAAAACTTAAAACAAGCAGAACCGAAACTTGTCAAAGACTGCAACATGGGAAAATCATGTGACCGGATTTTACTCTTTGATTTACAACTTATTTAGTTAATGGCTTGTATTAGTTTTTTTACGCAGCGCTAAAAGAGAGATTTAAAAAAGGGGTTCCATAGGCGAACTGTCAGCAGGCCGACTTCAGTTTAACACTTCACTGCCCGTGGACAGTTACGACTGTAGCGCCCCTAGCGGATTGTGATCTACCTACTTAGATCGAATGTTTACAAATTCAGTTCATCCAGGGAATCTAGTTGGGATCCACCCTTCAGCCTAACTCCCTCTCCAAAAGATCAACACCAGGCCCTCAGAATCATGTTTGATATTTTCCAATTTTTAAATGACTTAATACATTCGATTGCAATAAGATATTCTTTGGGAGGACCCGATCAAAAATGGACCCCAACACCAACCGTACATGGTGGGGAGCATTTGAGGCGGGGTGAGGGTGGGGGCAAAATGGTTGATGACACAGCGCAGACCCTGGTGGGGTAGGATGGGTGTAATAGTGGTGGAGTTGGTGTGGATTTTGAACCTTCCCGCTACTGTTTTCACCGGTGTAAATACCCTTAAGTTTAAAGAATGATGGTAATTAAAATTGTTTCAAGTTTTAACACTCATGATAATGACAAATAAAATACTATAAATGCTATCCAGGTGTATCAATAAATGAATTTTATTATGAATCTCATTTTAGGCTGAAGACTTCCAGAAGGATGAGTTGGATTCAAATGTTATTGTTCAGCTTTTCTCACCACTTGTCAACTCACAGCGCTTCATGATAGAGACAGTGCAAAACCCTTACACAAGCATAGAATGTGAAAATGGTTTCCTTTTTGTATTTAAACAGGTATGGTTTGTTTCATCCTTCGAAAGTTACAAAAAATCAATACTTAATTTCAAAAGCAATTTTTTATGATTCGTAATCATGCAGCATTTTATTTACTTGAAATGTTTGGCTATAATTTAGGAATGTTGATTTTTGTAAGAAATTTCTGCCTCTTCAGTTTCAGGACCAGTTACACATAGCCATCAATGGAGATGGATCAGAGGCTGAAGATTTTCTGCACAGAAAGTTGCTCGTTTTCCAAAGGTTGCTCAGTTTTTTGTTTGGTCCAGCCATAGAAAGGTGAGAACCCATTAATGAAGTGTGATAAAGCATTTATCTATTTGGATTCTGAGAGTGACACCAAGGGTAATGTCTGTTTGAAAATTTGCAAGAGCTCCATTGCCAGATGATCAGCTATAATGTGTTGATAATACATCTATTGTCAACTACGAGTGATTAAAAAAATGTTTGAGTTAACACAAACAGTGGACTTTTATTCCAGATTGCGTCCAGACTTGACAGCAGCTCGTAAGGCAACCTGGAGTAGAGTGTCACACCTGGTGGACACGTGGTGCACCCTGGTGGAGAGTGATCAGGCGTTTCTTGTAGAGGTTAGCTGATAGGCAGTTTGAAAGATAAAAGTGAAACTGAATCAGCTCTTGACAGTTACTTAGTTCATTAAAAGTATGGTTTAAAGGATTTTCATTTTCTAACATTTTCTTTTTAGATAGTCACTGCTAATGTTTAAAGTCACTTTGTGTCTTTTTCCTTTGGTGACTCCATTTTGACCCAAAATTAGTTTTTTAATGGATCCAAAAGATTACATTTTTATGAAACCAGGGATGAGCTTTATTTAAATCTTTGATGAGAGTTTTTAAAACTTTTCCTTTGAACACTTCAACTGAATTACCTTAAGTATATTGTATGCAGGTACGTTACAATTTTTGTCATATTCTAAGAAGTTCTTTGGTTTTCATTTGAACTTTGACATTCTTTTTCAGTTACAGCCAATTAAAAATATATATTCTCTTTCAGGCCTTTGAGCGACTTAATGTAAACCAGGCAGTAAATGGCATGTGCATAAGTATACTGGAGTCTTGTCTGGAAAAGCTACGGAGTGGAGAAGATAGAAATGCTATTCATGCATTGCTTCTTGTTAATACTAAATTATTAGCCTTGTTTTCAAGGTAAAGTGTTTTTTTATAAAACTGTTACTACTTATATATCCTCTTAAACTCTCCATGTCACTGAAACTACTGTATGTCACTGAAGCATGTTTTCATCATCTTTTCATCTAGACTCTTGTAAGACAATGCTTAGTCTTGCTCTTTTTAAAGAGAACACTCTATGTAAACATTTTTTGACTGATACTCAAAGTAATGCAGTTGATGGGTTAAAAATGATTGAAACAATTCTAAATAAGCTTGATGTTCAATTTTTTAGTCGCAATGCATGGGAACTCCAGTCATCAGACATGTTACTCCTGACATTGCTAGTGCAGTCCCAGTTTCGTCTGACACCAGAGGACGCTAGTGCTGAATTTACAGACACTGTCACACACAATACTGTCAAAGAAACAAAAACGCCGTTACTCAGAAAGAAAACTCTCAGTTTTCAGAGTCTAGCAGATGATGATAGTAATGAAAGTGACCAAGAGCAGGTGGTTCAATTAAGCTTTGATTCTATAACTCCAGACAAATAAATCTAATTGTGCATTTCTTTTCTTAATTTTTTGGCCCTTATTTATTTAAAATATATATATTTATTAATAAATTGATTTTTTAAAACCTGAAATACTCTACGTAACGGATTTTAATAACTATTTTGACAGTTTTCATTTATATGGCCAATCAGCTAGAATGCCCTCATTCATTTAAAACTTAGTAACCGTAGTTGTTCTTACCTAATTGTTTAGATTTTTAAACATGTCATATCTTAATAACTAAAAGTTCTACCATAGTTATCAGGCATAAAAAAAATTGATTTTGCTTCAAATTACCAGCATTTTTGTTTTTGTGATCTGTCAGTGAATAATATTTTGTGGTTCTATATAATTCAGTTCTTTGACCCAAGAGCAACTCCTGTTGATGATAGTAATACCTCAGTCCACACCCCACCATTACCAGGAGGAGCGTTGGAAGTTGGTAGGCATCTTTTTGTATTTTATATATTAATATTAACTGTTGTTTTATTTTTTGAGCATATCAGTATCTTAAAAAAAGACATGCTTAGAATTTTCCTACTGACGCATTTTATNTTATAATTAACAACATAGCAGAAATAACCTGTGATTTTCTGTTGTAAAACTTAATTTCTAACTAAATTTTGGGGATGCCAGTTTATATATATGGTCTATATTGGGAATGTTAGCTGCTAATATAACATCATTATGCAACAGGTGCATGTTGACAAGGCAGTGCAAGATGTAGACAGCAAGTGGAATAAGATTGAAAAGGATAAAGTTGTCAGCTATTTAAATCAACCAAAAAGACATAGTCTTCCTTCTCCAAAGTAAGTTTTTTTATATTTTTGTTTTACAGAAGTAACATTATTCCTTTTTTAAAAGAGCTATTGAGCATGTATATGTATTTCTCTTTTCACTGTAATTCCTTCTTTTGTTTTTCATTTGAATTAGAATTAGTGACTATATTTTATACTTTATTTTGAGAAATGACAAAATTTTATTTTTCAGGCTAGAAAATTCTATCAATTCTCTGTATAAGTCACTAAAAGATTTGTTCAGCTCTTTATATCTGCTTGGAGATGAACAGTTATCTAACAGTGTGATATATGGCTTGCAGTCTCATGCAAAAGGCCGTCTGGATGACTACAAGGACTATTTAGCTGTCAAAGCTCAAAGAAACATCACCATGACAAAGTACCTTTTTAGATATGTTAAAATTTTCAAAATTCTTTTTGAGAAAATAGCTACATGACTTTGCAATCATTTACTTGATTTCCTTGTATACTAGTACTTACGGTAACTTGTATTTAACGATTCACTTACAAGAAAATGTTAGAAATTAAAATGAGAAGCTGCTGAGATATGTTTTGCAAACAAAAGTTTGTGTGAAAGAAATGTGTTTTAATGTCCACAATAAGCTATATTCTTCCTTAACCCCTTAAGTTATCTGGAGGAGTTTCCTGGCCTTGTCCACTTCATCTACATTGACCGCTCCACTGACCAGCTGACCGCCCCCTCCATCAACATCACCATGGAAGATTTGCCAGAGAAAGCTGATGTGACTCAGAACATAAAAAGCAAGGCAAGTTACAAGAACAGTTTTTTGTATTACCTTAAAAAATATCTTATCCTCAAAACTTTGTTAAGATTCATTGTGAAACCATATATGCTTTGAGGATTTCTGAAGGAGCTTGAGATCCATCAGTGCTTTTTTTATCTTCAAACATGGAACTAATTATATCTTTATCAAAATTTGGGCATTTTTATTGAATTGTCAAAGTAATTGATTGATATTTTTTCTAATGAATTAACCCATTTCTTTTCTAGATCTGGAGCATTGTTCGCTGGTTTCAGATAAAGCTTCAGCAAGGTTTTACCACAATGACAGTCAGGGATGGGGACTTCTTCTATTCCTACTGTTTATGGTTTGAAGACAGTGGTGTAAGTGTTGATGTTCCTTAAAGATGCATTTCATAAGTGAAGACCTACCTCTTTAAATTTAATTGAGACTGTAGGATGACTGGCATTCTGTCTTTAAGTTATTTATTTATAGGTATTTGGATCAAATTGGTATATTTAGTTATCAGCTGTATTATCTTTTCTATCAGGGAAACATTATAGCTCCTCTCCGCCCTTTCCATGGGGGAAGTCTGGAGCACCCTCCAGGGATTATTGCAGAAAATTCTTATAGGTAACAATTTTCATCTATATTTGATCTTAATGGTCTGCATTTTTAAAACTTGATCTTAGTAAATTAATGCAGATCTTAACTAGGCATGCATTAAAGAAAAATGTACAGTTTTAAGAACAATTTCTTGAAAAAGATTGTCACTGCCACATAGTTCTTATTTTCATTATTTTTAACCAAAAAGGCCACATTTTTCATCTCAGTTTAAACTTTCTTGTCACAAGTTTTAAACCCAAAAGCAATATAGGTAAGTGCACTTTTGAATGCTAGTTTGTAAAATAAATTAAAAATATAATTTTTTTTCAGGTTGCTGAGGCGCCAGTGTTTCCCAGGCATTTCGCTGAGTGGTGTGTACTGTTATGAGCTGGTATGTGTGCACATTGGGTTGGTGCCAACCAAATATGTTGTGGATCACTGGAGAAGACTGTATGCACTTCTGTGGGAATCCTCAGAGATTCTGTGGTAGTAGGGGGACATATAAATAGGTGGTGGAATTTTGGGGAAAAAAAGACCTCAGTCCTGTGGTTTTGTTTATATTCAATACATTCAGAAAATGCTGTAGTTTAATTTTTTGCCCAATGGCTGATAATAAATTTAATGAAGGCTAATTTTCTTCTAAAAGAATACATGTATTGATACAAAATTATTTGACCCAAAATATGCTGTGATGGTTAGACCTAAAAAATACTGTGATATGGCAGAACAACTGATAATGTCAGAAAAAAAGTTTATGCGAATATCTGTTGGCATTTGATGCAACTGTAATGTTTAAAATTGCAGCATTCAAGTGGCATAAATTTCCATGCAATACAAATAAAGTATCTAATGCACTTTTTCTTTGACGGTAGTTTTACTTAGAAGAAAAAAGAAACACTTGCATAATTTGCTCAAAACTTCTTCAGTGATTGGTGTAATGAGAGGAGATACAGTAAACACATTCCATTATATGCTCAAATATAGGATACAGCTATTCATATATATATTAATAGTATATTTTGTTAGGCTAGTATTAAAGAATAAACTTCTCTATGAACTTTTGTTTTGAATTTATTAACAGAGTAAATAATCGGCAGCATGTTACCTTTGGTGTATAAAGCATGTGGACATGAAAGTGATTGTAGATTTCTTAGTAATACAGACATAAGGTATATAAGATATATTTGTATGACATTCACATATAGATCTAAGCAGTAAGGGGGGGAAATGTTTTATTTAAATAACTACTGGCTCCAAGCAAATATGTCATTACATGATGGAATGTTAATTGCAACATTAAGAGATGAACATGCAAAATAAGTAAGAATCCTTTCACCAGTTTCATGGGTGAATCAGGTGGGACAATACAGAAAAATGCTGTTTATTTCTGATTGGCACCAAGCATATTACTGTTCCCACCCTGTGGAATGATATTCTATATGTTGCATAGGAAGAAAATATAGCATATAATATAGCAGTTTTTGCAAAAAAAAAAAAAATGCTGAAGTCTTAGCAATCTCTCTTTTTGTCAACCATGATGTAAACAGACTTTGTATGAAAGCCCAACTAGATGAAAACTGGTAAAATATGCAATTCTTACTAAAATATATATATATATATAATATATTTTAATGATGACAATGATGTCATATAAAGTGAGCAAAGCTAGTCATTTAATTTGCATTTTCATGATAGTAATAGATGTAACAATCTGAAATAACTACACTTTTCCTTTGTTTGAATTTGTATTGTTGAAAGCCCGTCTCAATTACTTAACAGAAACATTTAGTAATGAGCAACTGCTACAAAGATACATCTGAAAACCTTTTCACCAAAGTTTTTAAACTGCTGCTGATAACAAAAGCTTTTTAAAGAATTTCCAATTTGTTTCACATAACGTTGTCTTCTTCATATAACTGGTCATAGGAAATGATCTACACCAGTAGGTTCAAGCAAAATCATTTCAGTGTCTCATTTGATGTATCATCGTTTACCTCCAGCAATCTACTTCTTTCCGATTTTAATGTATAAAATGGTCTACAAACCTTAGAGTACTAGTGGCGATGCTAACACCTGGTATCACTCAAATAATCTCAAATTTGATCTGGCACAAAATGGGGAGGATATCTTTCCCCCCACTACCACTAACTGTGCCTTTACCAATTGCAATGCATGCACCTGCCATCTTTATACTTTAACACTAGCCAGTCTACCAGCAAATTCCAGTATCTATTCCTCAATGAGTTCCACATAGTTTGCTGGAAACATTCCATGTGTTCCATCTGGGCCAGTTCCAACCCACCAACCCTCATCCACCTGCTCTATGTTGGTGATGATGTCATCTGGATCAAACGTTATTTCAGTCTCGTCCGCTACAAGCAAGAGAAATGTTACGACTTTAGATAAAGGATTTTGGATGGTGAACCTTTGGATTAGAACATTGCTGTTTACAGCTTAGAAGTGATAACTTTGGTGATAAAATAGATAAAAACTGATAAAAGTTAATAATATCTGATAGAATGTTAATCTAGGGCAAAGATTTTAATAATATGATCTAAATTAAAATAAACAATAATGACATTCAAAACTTAAGATGACCTAGTAACTGTAACAAAAATATTACTGCAACAGACATTCCAAACTCTTCCGTTGGTCAGCATGCAATAAGTATAAACCTGAGCTAAATTGTTTCGCCCTGGCTTACCTGCTTGATAATCGTACAAAGCTTTGGCTCTCAGACTGCTCTGCTCCATCATGCCTGATATCCTCTTCTCTGCTCCATGAGCGTAGCCTGCATCAGGGGGTTCATCTTCATGAGCGTAACTGGACTCTGGCTCCTGAGTGATAGGGGTCACTTCTGGGGGACCTTCAAACTCCTCACCACCGGGCTCTGAAAAATCAAGAAAATTCCATGGTATTTTCAATCTTGTTATCACACTGTTAAACATCAGGATGTATCAAAATAATCTGATACTTTATTTCCTTTCTTCATATATTCGAAATATTTTGTTGTCTATCCTGCCACTAAATAAAAGATTAATGACCTAAAAGATATATCTTTCATAAAATAATTCTGGTGTCTTTTATGCAATTAATTGATGTGACAAATGTCAGTGAAACTTCAGTAGTTACATCCATAGGCAATCATACAGCCTACTTATAGTCACTCTAAAACCAAAATGAGACACTTGTAATTGAACTTGGTAACACCAACAGGTAATTTGTCAAACTCACCATCCCAGTTCTGTTCTTCCTCCTCCTCTTCATCTGAATCCTGGCGTTTTGGCAGTCCCTCTGCCAGCAAGTTTCTGGTAGCAGGAACCTCTGAGGTTGGTCTGGACACTGGCTGCTGTGGCTCTGAGACACAACAAGACAGAGAAAGGTGAAAGTAATGGGATTAACTTAATTTGTTGTTTATTTTATTTACTTTGCCAGTTGATAGAAGTATTGTAAAGGATACTGCAATTGTTTGCAATCCATAAAATGCAAATGTCTCATTTTTTAATAAAATAAAAATGCCAACTGCAAATATTGTACACGTAGCCATCCCTGCAAGTTTGAATTACTTAAGGAGCATTTACATGCAAGATGTACCTGATTAAGCAAAGGTTCCTAAGAGAGCAAGTGTTTTCCTATATGTACCAATGCTATCCGTGCTATGCCTAATAGTGGGAATGGTAATGAGATGGAGAAGGAAAGGGTTACACATGGTGCTTATTATGCCCAGTTTTCTTAATTGGGCAAAATAATAAAATAACTCAAACCCAGTCATTGATCCACTCATTTTACAAACCTGGTTCTGGAGAAGGTTCTCGGATGGGAGGAGAGGGTTGACGTGGGGGAGATGGTTCCCTCGGGGGTGGTGACGGTTCCCTTGGAGGTGGTGAAGGCTCCCTTCTTGGGGGTGGTGAAGGCTCCCTTGGGGGTGGTGAAGGCTCCCTTGGGAGCTGAATTGGTTCTTTTCTGGGCGGAGGAGCCTCTTGTTGCTGCTGATCTAAGAAGGTGTGTTTTATTTTTCTGGAAACATCAAATGAGATATATATCTAAAAGTATGCATTTTCTTTATTAAAAGTGGAATATAATGTAAAAAATTAAAATTAAAAACATTTCAATTTAAGTTTACCTGTACTTTTGCATTAACAAAGACATACATAAACTTTTCTTCAGTAAACAGCCAATTATTATAGAGATTTTTCAATTAATATAATAAGTATTGTCAATTTGAAATATCTTACTTGGGTGGAGCTGGTGGCATTTTCTTCTCTGCTGCATACTGACTAGTGTGTTGTTCAAATTTAGCTCTTGGATCATTTTCTCTTTGTGCAACAAGAGAAGCAGCCTCTGCTGCCCTTTCGTGTCTTAAGGATGATGCACGTTTCCTGCGATCTTCATAATCTTTCTCCAGCTCACTCTGATCATGTTCCTATCATAGAGAGATCCATTAGAAAACAGTGTTAGCAGTTTTGCAGTCACAACATTAACAATTAGGTCCTGATGCACAAAATCCTACCAGTGTAAACCCATCCACAAAGCTGTTGACAAAAGGCCAAGCAGGCCAGTGCAAAATTTGAACAGAGACAGATATGCAAATTAAAACTCACAAAAATCATCAATGCGATAGCGTCTTTCATTCCTTTCTCAATCAAAATTATTTTAATTAACAAATAAGTGCAAAATCACTCCTTTTCCAATCTAATTATTTCATTTTGCATAATCATCCATTCTTATTTTTTTGACCTGTCAATCACCCATGAAATCACCATATGTATCATACCCAGCGTTTTTTCTCTTCTTCTTTATTATTTTCAGCTGCTAACTTCTCAGCCTTCTTTTGAGCTGCAATAGCTTTTGCCCTCTCTGCTGCCTTCCTCTCTCTTTCTTCATTTTCTCTTGCCTGTATACAGACATGGGTTATGCTACTCAATCATGCATAACATCATCATCATTCCACTTTCTTAGAATCTTATAAAATCAATTTGTCAATTCCTGATGTGAAGATTTAAATTTGAATTGTTTGCATATAATATTTGGTTTGGACTGAATCAATTCTTAAAAATTTTCCCAATATACATATTATAAATCAAANCCTGTATACAGACATGGGTTATGCTACTCAATCATGCATAACATCATCATCATTCCCCTTTCTTAGAATCTTATAAAATCAATTTGTCAATTCCTGATGTGAAGATTTAAATTTGAATTGTTTGCATATAATATTTGGTTTGGACTGAATCAATTCTTAAAAATTTTCCCAATATATATATATTATGAATTTAATGTTCTGTTCACCAAAGTTTCTTGATTACACATTAGGAATGGATAATTCAATCAGGAAGCTTCCTGTGCTCAATTGCAGTGAATTAGTATTACAATTACAGGGGTGAAACTGAAAGACATTATTGGTGTTTCAATTTGATTTTATTAGAATCATCTTATCAGACAGTACCTCTCTAGCTTTTCTTTCCATTTCAATATTTTTCCTTTCGTTTGCAGATTTACGTTTTTCTTCTGCAATCCGCTGTTGTTCTTCTTTCTTTAGGAAAAAAATTAAAATTAATCATATTTTTACTGTTTAAATGGAAAAAACACATCCCTTACTGTTTAACGAGTGTTACAGAACACCCAATTTGGCATTTTGTGTTTTTATCATATATGAATAATAATATTACTAATGCTTTGTCATATTAGCAAATAAATGAATGACTTTTAAATCATCACATAAACTAGTGATTTAAAGCACTATTTTGCATTATAAACCACACCACGTTGGTTCATACCTCCTGCTTCTCCCAGAACTGATCCCTCACATTAACTTTTATTTCTTCAGCTGGCTTTGTCCTCTTGTATACTGATGACTAAAAATACACAGTATGAGTTTTCACATATATTAAAATAAACATTTAAGAAGAACCTTGTACATAACATATTTGTATTCTCATTCCTTAACAGTTTGCCATTTACAGTCTTTACAGAGGGGAAAAAACAATCCATCAATAATTATTTAACTAGTTAATCATATATCCTAAAGATGTGTGAAGTGTGACTTAATAATGACTTAATGCTAGCACTAATGACTTACCACACGCTCTGGTTCAGCCATAGGCTTAGCAATTTCCTTGTGAAAGCTATAGTTAGCACCAGAGGATTTGGCCACCTTGTCTTTGATGGTCTCCTCATCTATATCATCTTCTGTTCTGGCATTAATGGTCACATGGGCCCCCTAGAAAAATAAGTTGACATAAACTGACACTATTGTAACACCTGCACTACATATATTTTGTGTGAACATACCATGATATGTATTAGGATACAAGCATTATCACCCCCCTCCTCCACCCCACAAAACAAACAAACAAACAACAAACAAACAAAAAACATTTAACAATATTTATTTAATAACAAACCACTGAAGTCAAATTAGTCATGTGATATTACTGCATGTCATTCACAAGTTTTTATGCTTTGGGCTGTGCATCTGTGACACATGTCATGAAGAAAGTCTTACAAAAATTTCTGTTTACTTACTCTGAACAAATTGTGAATATCATTGATGTGGCGAGCTGCTGCACCTTTCTTTATTTCTGGTACACCTTCACCTTGCTAAAACAGAAGGAACATCATAAATTCAAGCATAAGCTCATTTTTTCTAAATAAGTCATGAATTCTGTAACATGCTCCATATAAAAGACAAGCATGTACACTCAAATACAGCCTCTCAATTTATTCTTACAACACAACTCTCAAGCTTCAACTGATATAAGCAATTACTTACCCAGTTGATAATAACATTTTTCCACAAATTGGTATTAGGATCTTGTACCCGGCAATAGGCATACATAATTTTGCCACTGTTCAATTCATCTACCATTTCCTCCAGGTCTCCATCTATACAAAAATAATCATTTCATAATAACAGATAAATAAGAATTCCTTAAATTGAAGCTTTATTTATAATTTGACACTCTTGATAATCTTACAAATGTGCTTCTTATTCAGCTTTAGGCTTTTGCAAGACGACTAATTTTTATTCATTTTTTTTTTATATATATATATAAAAGTAAGATATTTGGACATATTCTAAAGCGACAATATGATTATCTGGACCAGATGTACACATTCCAGTTGGCAAGCATAAGAGAAATAAAGAAAGATAAAACATGTCTAAATTGCAATAAAAGACAACACTAAACCTGTCTTATTACTTTAACAAGGTGCCAAAAGAGGCATGAGAAAAACAAGGTACAGTACCTCCCTTCTCAACCACTCGTAGCACATTGCTTGTTCCTTCATATCCAAATACAGCCCTGAAAGACAGCAGCAATATGGTTTGAACATGCAATTTGTATCAGCCATGTTAACAGAAAGATGTATCAGTATATTTTTTTTCAAAACTTCTTAAATGTTAAAAAGGGGGTGTGGTCGCTTTTCGAAAAGATGTCATTGTCACATGTATTACGAGGGTAAGGTTGTAAACTTGAGAACTTACATGTGATAATATTGGTTCTGATGTTTATGTTGACTCGTATGATGCTGAATGCGTGGTAGTAGCAGGGTGATTTTTCGGGGAATTATTTAGGTAACTGTAACTTCGTCATTAATTGGACAGGAAGATATCCAAACGTCAGTTGTTTCATTTAATAGTTGAAAACTCAAGGACGACCCAGCAATGCAGTAACCCTTGCCTTATCAAAAAGAATCAGAGTGAACTCGGAACCTCACCATCATTAAAGTATATGTCAGGGCTTGATACGTGACTCACATTAAAGTCTCAAACTCACTGCTGGCTAATTTTGCGGACCGTCTCTCGTGAACGGAACTCATGCCGCTGACACATAATATTCACATCTCGCTTATCTTTTTCAAAATGCAAATCTCCTTTAAATATACACCTACAAAGGTGTTCTTACCAGTTTGTATCAGATTTCTCGTCTACCACATCTTGCCACGCTGCAAGAAGGGAGTCTTTATTCTTCCGAAGATCCACCGACATCTTCCTTCCTGGTCAGTGCTTGTGCAGTACGTCATCGATTTGGGAAGTGACGTTTTGTACATAATACTTCCATGTGACCTACTTTCATCTGGCAAGCTGTCAGTGTCAACAGACACGAGTGTCAAGTCACAGGCTCACCTGAGAGAAAACAGGTAAAGACAGAACAAGTTATTTGTGTAAGTCATTACGTTTCTGAGACCTTGGCATTAGTTTGTTGTGGTTTTTAAACAAGAAGAGGCATTGCAGCGTAACAGGGCGAGTCTTTTTCTTTGATTTTTGATAGAAATCACTTTAGTAAATCTCGTCATTTGACACATGCTCTTATTAGCAGCACATGCAAGAACTTTTCTGTAGATCATCTGCGTGTCTGTTGACAGAATGATTTTTGGGGAAAATTGAAATTGTCTGCCGTTGGGCTGACTTCCAACAAATGGACCCGCTAGTTCTTAATAATTATTGTCATTGTTTTAGTGTGACGAAATTTGAACATGTTGGTGTCAGTGCATGGCCTTTGTCTGAGGTAACATTAACCTATGTGTCACAAGCTTAATATGCCAGACATTAGTTATCATGTTGTTAAGGTGGTGACTTATGCATTCATATTGTCCTATCTATTTTACTTCTCTGTTAATATAAATAGAAAATTACTGTTAAGACATACTGAGTAGATCTGCATATTTACCTTTTTTAACTATTTTTTAAAAAATATTTTTATGATAAATAGAAGGATATGTTTCATATTTTTCTTTAGCAGATCTTGTTAAGAATTTGAAAAAGAAATGACATATTTGTATTAATACCATGATAGTGAATTTTGATAAGCCAGACATGATTACATCAGTTTTATGATAAAATTGCTGTCTGTGTCTGATACTGTGTGAGTCTGTCTGCTAGCATGTGATAGCACTGAGTATCTATCTATTGATTTAATTAATAGAGAAGAGGATTAATTATTTTTAAGTATTTTCAAGTATAGATAAGAAGGCACCAGCCTATAACAAGTACAACTGATAAATGATATTAACTACATTGGATAAAGTTGCACTTTATCTCCCTATTGCAAAAAAATAAAATAAAAAAATGAAATAAAATAATAAAAAAAATAATGATGATCTTATTTGATATTAAGTATTAATACTTAAGTGTGATGTCATCTCTTTTTTCTTAAGGCACAGAGGCTTTGGTAGCTGCACTTATTTCTCTGGTGTATTTTAGTACTTATTGCTCCATTAGTTATTGTTTCCTCATGATGGTCTCAAGGGTAAACAACTCACCAGGCTTACTGACAAAAATAGATGTATTATTCATATCATATAGATAAACATATATATACATCTGATAATACAACCTGTTTTAGCTATTTTAGGTATCATTGTATCAGATATAGTTGCCAAATAGAGCTTATTACTATAATGACATTACATTTACAAAGGCACGGTTATCATTAAAGTTTATCTTGTTCAGCTACATTTTTTATGTCACAGAATATACTGGTACATGTAAGTCCCCTTTCTTTTTAAATCCAGATAAAAAGATTTTTCACAGAGACCGGCACTGCCAGATGGCCAGGTGTGACGCAGCCTGAGGCTGTGCTTCAGCACATTTTTGGAAGTAATTAATGGCTCAGTTTTCATTGCAAAATGTAGCTATTTGATTAATGATCACCACAGGTACATTCAACAATGGTGATATTGTTGGTGTATCATCTGCTTAATATATCTTCAGGTGTATTGAACATATTCAAAATGGAAAGAGTCTTATCAGCTTGTTTGATTACTATACATGTAATTAACTATTTCAGAGTCTAATTGGGGTTCCGGTGGCATCACTTATAATAAATAACAGTCCCTGTGGCATCAGTTATAATAAATAGCAATAAGTTACTAAGTTAATTGTTTGTAACAATTATAGTAGTATGTACCGAATTTGCCTTTACTTTTATCTTGGAATCTGTTCTTACTGCAACCAAATCAGTTCATGCGCAGTGGTTTTTAGGCTGATCTGAATGTAATCAGCAGTAATGTTTATTTAACTTCAGATTTAATCATTGCTAACACCTAACAGGTTTACTTATTTTTCTAATTCTTCTAGTTTTTACTTAGTGTAATTAAATCTGGTATATCAAGTATAGGTATAGTATCTATTCTTGTACATAAAGTTTTTTTTCTAAATATGTGCTTCAAAATACAGCTTAATTTACCTGGGTAAACACCTGTTTCCAGACAAAGTCAATAAGCTTACTGTAAATTTGCTGTAAGAAAATTAAACAAATATGATACAATACTTAAACATGTTATGCAATGTATTTCTCTTATTATATTAGAAGATTGCATAAGTTTATGCATGTACATATTATGACAATATTTGTTCAATAGTATTATTCAGTATTTACCCCCAATTCCCAGTTATATACCAAAATAATTATGCATATTTTTTTTACTTCTATGAATTATTTACAATGTTTATTTACTCATTTACTCAACATGATGGCAATGTACAAATGCTGACTATAGGATTGAATCATGCCCGTAGATTTTAAACACCTTTTTTGGATTCACCTTTCATGTGACTGACAATAATGCTTAGAACTCCATTGTACATTTATGAATTTATTATTATTTTTTTACATTACACTTTGATGAAATTTAAAATGCTGAACTGTCATGCTTAAGAAATTATCTATGATGGATGCAGTTCACTTTGATGAAATAAAATAACAATGAACTGCCTTGTTTTAGAGACAATCCATTATGGATAAGTAATATGTTATGTCCAATAACAACCAGTTGCAGTTTATTGATGTTGGTAATTTCCTTGTCATCTTTTATATTTTCTTTACATGATGAGATCTATTATGATCTATAGATGTATGGTATATTTCAGTACAGATAAAGGAGGATTTGCATTATTTTAGACAGACTGTTTCTTAAATTTTGTTTAATTCCTAAGCTCAATTTCATGCAGTATCAATTAATTAACTATATTGTTTCTTTTAGCCTAGATATATTGTTTTTAGACTGGTCAAAATCCTCTTGTTGCATGAGACTAATATAGTTGTTGTAATGCACCTTAAGCTGAAACCAATTTGGAATGTTTGGCATGTTGGCTTATAGTCCTCTTCAATATTTATCTTCCACATCTTCCACGTGGTGCCTGTCTAGACTCATACCTGTCACAAATCTCAGGCAAAATTGTTGGTAACCAAAAAACAGTAGAGATATAATACAAGAGTGACCATAATCTTCAAGAGCTTATCTTATATGCATTTCTTTCTGAACACAGACAGCCTGGACCAAAATTGTTCCTATATTAAAGTTACATGTCAAGCCAATGTGGGTTGGTAGTAACACATACATGGTACATGTGTGAACAGCTTCCAGTAGTTTCTTATATACTAAAATGAAGTCAACATGCCAAGTCATAAACCAAAATGAGTGAAACCAAGAATACACAGCCAGCTAGCTTACTATTTTTAAAGTGGTTCCTTTTTTTTAAGGCGGACCTTTTTTTCCTTAGTTGTCCCCATTTGAAAAATATAACATTTCCATTGTCTTTCAGATTATGTCCAAATATTTTTCATTAAAAAACTTTTTACTTAGTAGATGATACAAGTAAACCCAATTTTGTTTCTGTCATTCTAATATTGAATAATGTATATTTGTCTGCAACCCTTACCATATTTTATGAGGTGATTTATTGACATTCAAAGCTTTTGGAAAAATCTAATGTGATGGTTGTCAGATAAGATAGGAATCATCTAATGCTTACTCGAAGTGGTCATAATTTAAGAGGTAAAAAGGAAAATGCACTGGGTCACCTTAGTATGATGACGAAGCCTCTTTTAGGAACAATTGCTTACATATTAGACAAAGACGAGGAACTGGACTGCTTCTTGTGACCTTTAAAAGGAGTGATGTTCATTGTATAATAATATATGCCATACCTGGTACATGGTACTAATTCAAGCATTTTACCAGCAGACTAGCTGAGACTGGACAAATTGTCCATAAATCTGGTGTCACCGTTAAACAAGATTGCTTGAGGGTTGAGTTTAGAATGCTAAAAATGAGAGAGACATATATAATAGTCGTCAAGTGATGTCTCCTACATCTCTGTTAAAGTCGTGAGCACTGACTGGTCACTGTGGAAGGGCTAGCCTATAGCACCCAAAGCAATAAAACTTGCATAATATAATACTTTTCAAAGCTTGTGGTATAATAATTGTAATTAGTAGTAAGTGAGAAGGAAAGCAAAAGAATTTATTTTTCTTATACAGTACTTGACCATATATGGTTAGATTCAGGAAATGTCAGTCTGCTAGGAGACTGAGTGCTTTTTTGTGTCCATTTTGTGATGGATGTTAGGTGGTTTCCAGTCAAGTTAGGTCATTCTATCTCTATAACCATCTCAGCCACATGACTCACCCCTTGCACTCACAAATGCGCTTGGAGCTAGAACAATAGTTATAATGTTTTTTTCCTTCAGTATTAAAATGCATAGATTAGTCAGTTTGAAAAATAAATGACAAAGTTATGACAATTTAAAAAAACATTATTAGGTACATTGTTAACACAGACAACTGCATTTTTGAAAAACATTGTTATTTGATACTTAAGTGAGTTTGCAGAGAATAAAATAGCAAATGGCACAATTAGCCTTACTTTCCATGCCGGTATATATATATATATATATTAAAACCATATACATTTTGCAACAATAGATATGTATTAGGAAGATGCATTTAAAGTACAATAAGCAAAGAATATATATATATGGCAGAATGCTTTATAGTACATACATGGAAAAGTTGCTTTATTTATGATGCCTGTAACTTGAATTTTGACAGGAAATATCCATTTGTCATCGAGACACTGAGATGAAATATTGATTTGTTTGGTGCCTCATCTCAGTGCAATTTGTGCCGAAAAGATCCATGGCACTTGCAGGGAAGAAATGTAATCTCATGTAATCTGTGGAATGAATGAGAGCACAGATTGATTTTTTTACGCACTCTGTATACAGTAGTTAAGTATAGGCTGTTGGGCAGCGGATGTTGTTAAGCTATTTTTGGGCAATGAATTGTTCAGTTTCTTGAGTGCTATTGCTAGTGGGCCCAATGCCACAGCCAGGAATACCACCACAAAATTGTTTTTCATTAAGTCACATTCAGCTTGGATATTTTCTAGTTTCAATTTTTTAAGCACTGTCTACCCAAATTAAGTTTTTGCTAATTTACTTTAAATTGTTACAACCATAATGGTTCATTGTTATGATATGTACCTCTCCTTGCAGTGTCCTGAGATCTTTTACATATGTCATGTGGGATACATGTAGAAGTAGTTTGAGGATCGATGCATCTGTACTTTCATATTAAGATTTTGATTGTGGAAGCACCAAAAGGGCTTCTGCATCTTGTAAGGACTGAGAGTGTATTTATTAGGGTGTTGTAGTTTTTTTCCTACATTCAGTAGGTAGTAGGTCATACATAAACATTGCAGTTATTAGTTTGAAACACTGAATTTGTCACACTGAAGTGTAATGATAATTATCTGTGATAAAATAAACATTAGGGTTAGCCTTATTACTGTCAGACGGCATGTAGAGATAACTTGGACGAGCTCTTGCATGTGCCATTACCACTGTTGAAGTATATAAGTATGCAGTATACCTTGAAACACAATTTATAATCACTTTTTAATAGGTGTGGTATTTTTAATGGTAAGTCTTTAGTTGTTCCTTTATTCTTTTTTTCTCAAACATGCAGTAAAAATGCTTTTGACTCACAAATTTTAGAATGTTTTTTAAGGTAAAGGCCAGGCACTCCCGAGGTGAGAACATTGCCACCATGGCACGGTGTGTGTGTGTGTGTGTGTGTGTGTGTGTGTGTGTGTGTGTGTGTGTGTGTTTGTAAGGGGGGGGGGGGGGTTAAACAAACATCTTTTAAGGTTAAAAAATCTTTTTAGTTAGACAATGGTGTATATATGGATCTACAGCAGAACTCGGTGTGCTCAGTTGTGAGGCATGAAACCTGTTTCACTATGAGTGCAGAGAATATTAGATTAGATGGAAAAAAGGGAAAAAACAACTGCACATACTTAGTAAACAGTCTGTTCTGATCATATGTCACATAATCCTGTTTCACCAGTGTATATGCGTTTTTACCACCAAATGGTGTCAGATCATCTTTCTCTAATGTTTTCTAATGGTACACAATAAAAGTCGTCGATTCAAAAGGAACTATATTGGAAAAAGGCATACCTGTATCACTGTATTACACACTGAATCTGATTGGCATACTTGTGACTAAGACCAGCTGTATTGTCATTTTTATTGTTTAAAAGGTACACATTTGGTCCTGTAGTTGCCTTACAAAAAAAAAAGTGATAATATTAATAATAAAAATGATAATGATGACAATAATTATCATCCTCGTTCCTATTTCTATTTCAGATAAAACAACGTAAATCAATAAAAGATGAAGTAAGACACAGATGAGATACTTGAAGAAAATCTGAACATGATAGATCAACAGCAGTCACACCATGAAGTGGTGAAATGTGTGGTCGTTGGAGACACAGGAACGGGGAAGACACGCTTGATCTGTGCTCGTGCATGCGGGACAAGTTACTCCTTACCGCACCTGATGCACACACATGTGCCCACGGTTTGGGCTATTGATCACTACAGGCACGATTTGGAGGTATTATGAGTGCATGTGCAAAACTATTTGCAGACCAGCATGAATACAAGTGTATGAATATGCATCTATTGATACCTATAGCTGAAAAAAGGAATATATATATAAAGTTATGTTTGGTAGCCTTTAAGTTACGTAACTAAAATATGCAGATATTTATTGTGTAGTACTAAAACACCAAAAACATTTATCGTTGCCAGAGCTAGCTCTAGGATTTTGACCTTATTGCTGATAACAAATATTTGTCTTAATCTTATAAAGATAATGTCACCCAGCTTAAGATATATTGACCTCAAAGGTAGAGTGCAAGCATATGAATACCAGGTCACTTACATGTAGCTTCTTAAAGATCCACAAATGCATATTTACAAATTAAGTTTCAGTTCTGCTTGTATTTTGTCCCACAGTGTACAAAATTGTGCAATATATGTAATATAAAAAGAGCTAGGACATAAATAACATAAATTGTAACCCTACATATACTGCAAACTTTTTTTGTGAACAATTAATAGACAGATAATTTACATTTAAAGGATAATAGTAGGTTTGATTTCATTCTGCATCCTCTGAGTGCTATGCAGCAATTGAAAGCAGCAGACAATTTTAAGTTTCCTTGCAGAAACATTTTTTAAGAGAGTCATTCATGTATGTCATATTAATCTGAAGTTGTTGCATTTTCATGAGTGGAAATTTGGTATAAAATTTTGGGAAAAAATGTACATATTTACTGATTATTTTTTTTATATTGCTAAAGGTCCTGGAGCGTTCCTACTGCAGTGTGGACAAGGTGGATGTGTCACTAAGACTTTGGGACACATTTGGTTATCATGGAAAGGACAGAAGATTTGCATATGGAAGGTAATTGGATACATACGTACATATTGAATACATACAAGTAGATATACATGGTTTTATAGAGGAAATACTAAATAATACTAGTCATTATAGCCTGACAGCATGTTTCTTATCCAACAGTGGAAAGGCTCAGCATGTGTGATTTCTTTGGGAAAAAAACATTTAAAAAATCCTCTTTTAACAGTTTTCTAGTACTAGTACCTACACACAACATTCTATAGATGGCCAAACTCAGAAACATTCTACATACCATTGAAGATGATGCAAAATTCTAATGCATGGTAGAGGTCCTTTCGTTATGCATTTTCTAAGTCATTTGAATTTGGTGAACACAGTCTTATTCTATTTCTTTATTACAGAGCTGATGTGGTTCTTCTGTGCTTCTCAGTTGTACGACCAAAAACCTATTACAATCTGGTCAGTGTGTGGTATCCAGAAATACAGGAGTTTTGCCCCGATACCCCTATTGTGCTGGTAGGCTGTCAGGTGGACCTCAGACATCTGTACATGGACAAAGACTTCATTAAGATGGACAAAGGGCCTTTTTTCAAGTAAGAAAACATGTACAATGTAACTGATAAGGTGTTTTTTTTTTTCATTAGTGCATTTTTTGCTTAGTGAAAACTATGGTAAGGGCTGTAACCAGCAATTTCTGAAAAAGCGTACCTTTTTACCAAAATAACCCACTTGTTATACATTCTACTAGTATATCAAATTTTGATTCAAGCACACTTTTTCCTGACTAAAAGGGCAGTAAGTTCAAACCCGCCAAACCCCCCTGCCAACTAGCCTTTAGATTGAATAATATTGAAGTTTTATAAACCAGAATGAGTACAAAAAGGATGCAATAAAATATCGTGCAATTTTTATTTTAATGACCCCATTCATTGAATACATTATACTAGTACAAAAATGATGCATGTCTCTTGCAGGCCAATTCTAGAAGAAGACATACTGACTCCAAAAGATGGACGCAAAGTAGCAAAGAAAATTGGTGCTTATTACTATGAAAGTAGTGTTTATAGTAGATATGGAGTTGAAGAAGTCTTCACGAATGCTGTCAGAGCTGCACTTTACCACAAACGCCAGAAGAAATTCTGGAAGACTCAGTTGAGAGGAATAAAACCACCTTTATGCCAGGAACCATATTTGCCTCCAATGCCCAAACCACCGCCAGTACAAGTGCCCGAGATGCTGATGTCTTTTGATCTGTCTGGTTTGCTCTCTAGCAAGGCATTCAGTGATATTACTCTACAGACTGGTGATGTCTGTATTCAGGCTCATAGAGTTTGCTTGGTGACTGCATCACATGTATTTTGTGATCTCCTTATTCATAACATTGGACAACGGGTGGAAAACCAATGCGAAACCCCCACCAATGGTGCCACTACATGTTGCACTTCTGCTAGGACTGTTGATGCTTCAGAAAGACTGCTTCCTCTCACTGATAGTGACAACAGCTCAATGGAAGTGGAAACAAGCCAGGATGAGACAAGTACCATTGCTTTAAATCACCCTGCGTTTTTATCTATTCAGCGGAGAAGTTCGGAGGGAGAAATCTTACTTATTCTCAATAGTGATATAACTCCAGCTGCTCTACAGTATGTGCTCCACTACCTGTACACTGGGAGAGCCTTGGAGAACCACACTGTGCTTGCTGAGGCCAAATGTGCAGCTCAACTACTGCAATTGACTGATCTTGTCACCATGATCACAAACATTGAGAATAGGGATCAGATTTTGAACAAAGAGTTTGAAGAAGCTTTCTTCAAACAGAGGTGCTTTCAACTAAAAAAGTTGGTTCTGGATACAGGGCTCTTTGCAGGTGAATAATTTAATGCCAGTGATGTGATGTTTTCAGGTATATATTTGATCCATGCAGTCTCCATCATTTGGAAAACAAATTATTATTTTGAATAATGCAGTCACTGATAAACTTTTTTAAGTGGAAGTAAACTTTTAAGAGTTGGTTTTTTATATTTTGAAAAAAAAAAAATGCTACCATTTGATACAGTTTCAACATTTTGTCTACTGAGGTTTTCAAAAAGTAGTAGTATTTTTCAAATTCTAAAATATTCTTTTCCATTCATCCAGATGTCCATTTCCAAGTAGATGATGGATTAGTTCCAGCCCACAAGGCCTTACTTGTCAGTAGCTGTGACCCCATGCTTGCCATGTTCAGTGACAATTTCAAGGAGAGTGCTGCAAAAGTGGTAAGTTTCTATGTTGCTTACATGTACAAGTAGTTATAAAATACATTGACGAAAGTGGTTATCTTTTAATTAAAATCTATAAGAAGTTGAAAATATCATATTCATGGTAAAAATAAATTAGGTTTTTGATATATTCATTTTGCTTGGGTGGTGAAAGGCCTTGATTGAAAAAAGATGTTTTTCCCTTTTTTTTACTGGTACTTCAAAACCGATACATAACTGTTTGTCAACAGACATTGTAAAACAAATCATCTGTGTATTCCTTGTCAGGTTTGTTTCCCTGGTATGACAGGGGACACATTCAAAACCCTCCAACACTACTTGTACACTGGTCAGATGCCTGACAGCCTGTACAATGTGGACCCCATTGACCTTATTGCTGTGGCAAACCGTCTTTGTCTTCCTAACTTGGTGTCCCACGTGGAGCTAGAGGTGATCAAAGAGTTCACAGCCAGTGCTGAGGTGGGGGAGGACATTAACAGGGATGTTATGAACCTTCTTGTCATGGCTGAGGTAAAAGATTTCCATCTGAAGTTCATTATGTGTTAAATTGTGTGCATATGCTGTATATGTAATGTTTTATTAATAGTTTTCTTTAAATTTTTACAAAATTTATGATGAACTGTCCTCAACTGTTTTTCACATTTAATGCATACACATTGTGAGGAACTCAACAGGATATGTGCATCCATTGTATTTTTGAAAGCATGTGTATTGAAGATTTGCTTGTGTTCTCCATTAAATAACAATTGTATAAAATGTTGAAATAGTATTTCCTAATTTTCAGCTCCACAATGCCCACCAACTTACAGAGTGGTGCCTCTACTGGCTCACAGTGCAATATTCCACAGTGTTCAGAAAGCACCAAAGGCAATTCAAGACTTTGCCCACAGAGATGCAGACTTACTTAACAAAGCACAGGTGGCCACCACTTTGGTATGTGTTTTTTTCATGATATTGTGTTTTCACACACTCAGACTGAAACTGACCTTACAGGTACATGGCCATAAAAAGTTTAAGTTCAGATATTGAGTTGGGACATACTGTCATATTGTACAAACCCCAAGTTAAGTAGACATTGGTCACCTTGTAATTTGAATTATCTTTAACTTATGAAATAATTTTCTTCTTTGGCGATAGCTTAACTTGATAAGCACATTATCTTTTACGGATCATTGGGAGGGTTCAGAACCAGTTGATCTGCAGGCTAACTAGTTGGCAGATCAAATACGGCACGCACTTGCCAATGGATTCCTGCTTTCCATGCGGCCCATCCCAGCAGGACCAGAGCAATTAAATCTTGGCAGGGTTTCGAGTGGATGCCACCTTATTTGATCCAGGGACTAGTTAGTCCACAGATCAACTGGTTCTGAATGCCCCAATATTTAGGTACATTGTATCTCAAATTTTCTAGTCTATAAATTACTGAGTTATGTGGAACCTCCTGTGCTTTTTTTTGATGTGATGCTTCTAGGTCAATAAATATATCTTAGTCCTCTAGTGTGCAATATCTAGGGTAATACATATTTTTAAAATATTCTTTTTTTTTTTTTTATGAAAGGTACCTTCGTGAAAAATTTTCTCATGAAAAGGCACTAAAAGAAGAAGATAAAGGCCTAGGGAAGAACAAGATGCCGTATCATTTGAAGAACACTCAGAGAAGCAGCTCAGAATCTGGATGTCTTTGTTTTGCTCTAAGAGGTCACCATCGCAGAGAGCTGCAAGACAGATCAACTTTTCCACAAGCTTCTTTAGAAGACTGATCAATACAAATGGAGAACTTTTACCATTTCCATTACCCTATGTGGCCCTTGAAATAGTACTTTTCAAAACCTTTTTTTTTTTTTCCAAAAAATAAGTGCTGCTTTTTGTACCATACTGTTTAAGGAGGGATGTGTGATTTGGATTTGCAGAAAATAGTGGAACTTGAATTACTACATATAAGTAATATGCATACTTTTTAATTCCTTTTTTTTTTTTTTTTTTGCAAAATGTAGCCATTATAAGGTGGTTTTAAGTTAGGTTCAAGCATGCTGATAGTGGAAGTGAGATTTTAATGATCTGAAACTTTGGGTGCATGTTTTAAGCTTGCCTGTGCATTCAACTCTTATTGCTTTAGATTATAGCTTGTATTTTCGCAGCATTTTCACAATGATTTTAGTTAACATGTTGAAGGAGTGTTTAAATATTTTGTTAGTTAAAACTATCAAATATATCGTTTGTTAAAGGTGCTTTTATGCTCTGTTTAAGATTCTTGATGCCACTGCAGAGTTGTTGAATTTTTTTTTCAGTTGTGTTTTGGAACTGACTGCAGATTGCAGGTTGAATTCTTCACGTTGAAAATGTGATATACATGTAGGGTGCTTAAATGAAAGAATGTTGTTTCATTAGTAAAACCTTTGTAACTAATTTAAAATGGTTGAAAAGTATGGAATTTTAATTTTTAAATTAAAATCTTAATTGTAGGTCATTATATATGTTAATATTGGGGTTCGTTCTCTTCCAATGCTGTACGATGATGATGATAGTGGATAAATGTGTCTTCTATTTATTGGACAGCTGTACAGAAAAATAATCTCACTGTAAACAAATCGATAAATCAACAAATCTTACAAACTCATGCTTTTGTGTATGTGTATTTATGTTTGTTTTTACAGACTGCTTCTAAAATGTGGAGTATTAATTGGCAACTGAAAACAGTAGTTTGTAAAGTTGACAATTATAGAACTGAAGCAGTATTTTGTTATATATTTATAAAGTCACGTTTGTAGTAATCTCTGTTGTACGTAGAATTTTCAGCCTTGTATGAACTTGGACTGTATTTTGAACTGAATTTTAGCAACAGATACACCCTTAGATAAGGTAATAAATTTGTAATACATACGTTTGAGTATTGTTTTCTGAAGGACAGATGGATTTTCTCCAAAACTGTGTATAACTAGTGTTTGTGTGTGTGTAAACAGCATATCGTCTGAACAGCCAGAGATTTTGAGATATGGAACATGTAACCACCTCGTTTCCTCGTTTCATTTTCTACTTCCCTGAGGTGCTTATTTTGGCATCGAATGGACCTCCGTAGCGTTTGCTGGCAAGAAATTGTGCTCAGTTTTTATTCTTTCATTTTGTAAAAGATCGTCTTTTTCTTTCGAAATGTCGTTTTTATTGAAATTTGTGGTTTTCTTCAAATTCGGTAGGTCCATAGTATCTTCCTTTTTTACTTTGAAACCATTATCCAACAACATTTCTGAGATACGTGCAGATGGTGAGAATCGTGTTAACATTGGCAGACTCTGTAAGGAAGGTACGGGTATAATGAATAACAGAAGTAGTTCGTTACGAATAATTGGTAGAACCGAGTATCCTTTTCTCGGGACACATGTTTTTGGGAGATTGTTTTTTCACAAACCTGAGTACGATTAGCTTCAAACAGCGCCAACCCATTCTTGTGATATGCAAAAGCGTCTTCAAAAATCTGGAGTGCACTGCCAATACAAATGAAGCCGTGCACAAGGCAAGGAACTCTCAGAAAAAAAACGCTGGTAGTTAGCCGCTATATGGCTACACAATTGTAACTTTGAGCCGCCGACATTTCCACGGTTTAGAATATATGCCCAAAGAGGTATTGTATGCTACAGTACTGTATATATGTAGCGAGTAATTTATGTGATTAATCAATATCAGGTTACAAGAATCGTTTAAAACTTTCAGTGTGTGTACCACAAAGTTTTTTCCAGTATCAATGTAGCCATGATATCGTGGGCTTCTTAGCCTCGACTTTTAACGTTTTCATCGTAAATGTGGGAGATTAACTAAAGCAAAATTCGCTTCCATGATTGACGCAATTTTTTTTTCTTTGTTGCTTTTGAATAATCAAGGGAGTCCACGAATTGCATGTCATTAAATACATTTATTCACGGACTGTGTAAGTCAATGACTACGAAAGATTGATAGCTTTTCAGTTAAATCTTTTCAGCTTTGTTATTACCGTTTATTCCAATAATGGGATTAAAGATCAAAGAAGAATCCCTTTAATATTTTGCTTATGATAACGTCTAGGAGTTTTTTCAATATCACATTTTTATCAAATTACCACAAGTGTATCACAGAGAAAGTAAGATTACAATTTAAGACAAAAAAGTCTGTTATTTGGAAATATCAACATCGACATGCATTAGCTACTGAAAGGCTATGCAACAATTTTCCCGCGCAATGCGCAGTCGTCAAAGCCATCGATGCTTCGTCTTGATAATGTCTCAAACTGCAATTATAGCAGGCGTCATCAGTTCCCTTTTTTCCTCATTGACCATGGAAATAAGTCGAAATTCCGAAGGATTTCAATCAAGCAAAGTCAGTATTCACACAGTTTCTAAAATTCAATTGCAACCCCCTTTTCACACCGGTAGAATTTGCGGCACTTTCTGAACAAGTGAGTGTAGATACCATCCGGTCGATCACTGCAGTCCAGGCTACAACGGGAGTTTCGGTAATAGCTGTCATGCCCCTGCATAAACGGAAAAAATAAGCAAAAAGCAGTGTCAATTAATAAATAAAATTGCATTAAATATATATTTCTTTTTTAAAAGATGTATAATAATAATAATAATAATAATAATAATAATAATAATAAACTTAATTCAAAGAGGGTAAAACATGTTAAGTGCGCAGACTTATCTTACACATGGCCCTAATTTCATAGCATTGAATATACTACTTATCCTTTTTAGTGATTTAGATAAATGACGATAAGGACACAAATAGAAATTTGTTATACTTAATAACGACATAATGTAAAATGATAACCAAACATGCAGCTATTGAGGAAATCGTTTTCTTTTCGTCAAATTTACGATGTCGACCATCAAGTTAAATTGAGGCAAATTGAGGATAAACAAGAACGGGAAGGATATAAAAAACGAAGTTCTAACATAAAGCGCAATTTCTTTTCATCAAAAAAGAGATGGTTGGAAACGGAATGTTTTAATAGATTCCTTCGAGGGATGGGAAAACTCAGATAAGCTGTTTAACACTGAGAGATTATTGGCAAGATTTCCACCAAATTACTCTCCCATGAAGGCATTGGTCACTTTTTTCCATGGAAAAATTCCTTATTTTCCTTTTTTTCGTCGGTAAAACATTCCACATCAGATCATACAATCTTTTTGCATGTATTTTTTGTTTGCGCTTCAGTTTACTTAATGAATCAGATTGCCTTAAAAGTCAATAAAAGCCGCGCGTGCAATCAATGCTGTCAACACTAATCTACATTCTTTGAGGTTTGTTATGTAAGCACTGCTTTAACAAAAAACAACAACCTAGCCAAGCCCAATGATCGTGTTTAATATCAAACTAAAAGCCACAAATTTGCAAAGTAAGAATTTTTACGTAGAAAGTTTGTTGAAAGAGGAAATGGGTTTGGCGCTACCTTCTACCTACAAATTTTCTTCTCTGAAACAACTTTTTCAAAGACTTCCTGAGATCTTAGACTGCAAAAATGAAGATTTTTTCAGAAAGGTTGAAAGACGATAGGTATTCGTAGTTGCATGGTATATCATAGTTTTTACTGAAAATATTTGTTGAAATATATATATTTTATGTGCTGGTTAATTGCTAATTGAATTAAAATGGAATTGGTGCACCGCTATGGTATCTTCAAGCTTCCTTAAAACAAACCCTGATAAATATTCCGTCATGTGCTTGAACCAGCTCTTTAACATACTCCATATTAAATCATGCCTCAAAATATCTGAGAAACAATTTCGCTGTTTATTTTTACAAAAAAATGATAAAAGCACATTTTGGCAAAACAAAAATTTTGCACCACCACTATCCAATAGCCTTTTTTGATTGAAAAACTGCCACGTCTTTCAGACAAATAAATCATTTAGTTTTAATTTATTTTTTTTTCATAATCTTGAGGTCTTTTAAGCAAAATATGTCTACTTTTCATGAGCGTGGAATTTGATTTTGGAGAATAAAAAGAAAATATGATTTTTCATTGATTATTGCCTTACATTTATTGTATTGTGCATTTCCAGCTTTTTTCTTTACTCGGCTAAAGTCAAGTGTTCGTTCATATGCTTTCTTTGCAATGTCAAATTATAATACAGCGAATAGATTTGCATAGCGTTACAATTTTTGTGCACTGAAAGCAATAATTATAATTCATTAAGTTGGCGGATGCCTCTGAAGCACAAGTATCTGAATGGAATCAAAATTAATTAAAACAGTACTCCCCACATTTGGTCGCTTTAAGGACTAAAAGCAATAGGAAACTCACCCCTCTGTCAATATTAGGAAAAGCCACCACTGTAGACAGCATCACATTCAAAAGGAGTACACCTGCAATGATAAATTACAATAACAGTGATCCTAGCTGCCTCTAAACTTATAAGACTTTCATACGATAATCAGTTTTATCAATAGTATCATATGTGTTCATAATGTTGACGTCCTTGTTTGGAAAAATTGACCCTTTTTAGCGGTTTTGCAATTGTGGCATTGATATATCAAAATAATTATCAATATTCAACTTCACTACAGATGTATTATTTTGTGAGGGCTTAACGAGATCGACATCTGAATCATACACCAGACACAGTTTTCTCCTACCTGCCAAACACAACGCCCTCTTCTGCATGTTAGTATAGTAAGCCCGGTGGTCGCAGCTGAACGCTCTTCAAGTAAATGTCCTCCTGAAATCAGGACCGGCGCCTTTTAAGTGCTTGTAATCCTGCCAACTTTGTTTTTGTACAAGCGAATTAAACGTGAAACAAATTCTGTTAAAACTGCCTTGGCTTATTCGTTGGATAAATATTTCACTTTGAACTTTTTTTCCGTCGTGGCATAGTTTTCTCATGATCCCTTGCACCCGGTGGCCTCCACCAACAAAAATAGTTTCAATCGTGCTATGAAAGGTTCCGAGAAAAAAAAAACAACGAATCTTGATAAAATAGTGAACTGTTTTGAGATGAACAAAATTCACTTGTACGTGAAGAAATATTGACATTCTTAGGAATTTATCTATCGGTTGTATTACCAGGAGGCATGTTTTCAACTGATTAACCTAATGTAAACGCATAAGATGTTTCGGAAGCTGAAGTCAAACTGAAATTCTTGAAATCACTTAAAAAGTAACAAAATCTTCATAAATAGAATTATTTATGCTATATTTTGCTATGTGCTCGACCTCATGGATAATGCAGAAAATTCTTCACAACTACACTGTACTGTAACTCTTCTCACTCCCTTTACACAACTCCATGTCTGTAATTTGTGCTAGCATCAAGAACGCCGTTCACACTTGATTACACAGGGCTACTCTCTTGTGCATGGGGACAGATTCGCTATAAGTACGACAGTCTTTTGTGAAAAGGAAATAACCCCTCATATTAATATCGTTCCCTTATAATTTTTCATTAGTTTCTTGACAAGAGGAAAAAGGCATAAAGGCCATTTTCATTAAGATTCACAGAGAATAGGTTTTAACTGGACACGTTATTTCTTATGATTTTCAGATAGTAACGGGTGTAAAAGAGACTCTTTGGGAATGCTGACAATGAGGCCAAGATAGCAATGCATGGACTTCATTTCTCTTGCGGCGGCCGCCCCATGCACTTTTATCTTACATCTGGTCCATCAACTTGATATGCTTCTCCGCCCCTCTTTCAGGCATACTGTCCACACGAACAGCAGAGAGCTTGGGTTGAGGCAAGAACTCCTTGACATATCAGAGAGATTTGAAGACAGTGATTTCTCGGAAAATGACGATAATCAAGCAGACATTCTGGAGGAAATGGAGGCGGCAGAAAGCAACAAAAGAATTCGAAATGAAGAAAAGTATGGCATGTCCAGTCAAGCTGGTGTGGAAGATTTTTCAACAGATTATATGTCATCTGAGACGATCTGGGATTCTGGGGATGACTCCGGTGTCTATTTCGATGACAGAACTACAGAAAAGGTAAAATTGCTGGCTTGGCTCACGCCGAGGGCGTCTTTTGATAATCAGTATCTCAACAATCGCTCGTCTAAGCAGTTTTTAGATAGAAAAAAATAGACGTAGTTAGGCACATAGCAAAATTTTAGGACACCCTAAATCTTCTAGAGTACACAGCACGTCATATGTCCCAGATAGGAAATGTATAGGACGCCCAATAGAATTCCTTTAGTGTCCCGTAGGATTCTTATAGATTCCCATAAAGTCGTATAGTGTGTCCTAAAGGAAATTTTTGGAAGGGCAGGCGGAGAGGCAACCATACTTGGGCTCCTTTAAAATATTCCACAAGTCTCTCACTGAGCCCTGCAATGATTTAAATTTGTTGATGTATTGTAAATCATTTCATTCATTTATTTTGGTAAGCATTTTACTACATGGACGTGCATGAAATGTATATTACCTACTTATTATCCCCGTCATTTAAGCCGACTGATTCAGGTGTTTTGTTGAGGCTAGAAAGATTGACATTAAAACGCAGGTCCGTAGCCAGCAATTTCAAAAGGGGGGTTCTTTTTCTGAAAAAGTGGACCTTTTACCATGAACCTTCATGTACCTAGTTCAAATTTTACCCAGAGTGGACCTTTTCCCAGCAAAAGGGGGGTTCTTTCGAACCCCCCGAACCCCCCCTGGCTACGGGCCTGAAACGGCAATAACAAAGTGAAAAACAAAAAAGAAGTTCTACGCCTGCTTAATTTCTTGACGAAATGTCTTGAAAAACATGCCATCCAAAGATATGTTGGTAACAGCAAAAGAAATATAAAAAGGAGTTGCCTTGCCTCTGCCCACTCTTCCTTGACGGAAAATAAAATTGATATAAATTGGTTACAGAAGTCGCAAACATTACCCCAAAGGGGTAAGCCTTAATGCACTTGGCTTACCTTCCGTTTAGTTCAGTTCAGTGTCATAGCATGTCATTAAATCAAGCAATTTTGAGTGATTTATCTCTAATTGTAAATGTCTTCCAAACTTCTAACTTCTTTCAACAACAATTTTCAAATAAGGCATGTTTTATTTTTTATCAATAACAGCCATATTGGAACCAGGATGCGTGTGCTGTTAACGGAGAGGATCACTCGGTTCCTAGGACACCGCCGACCTCACCTCGCGACAGCCAATCCAGTCTGAACAGCGAAAACTGCACCCCGCTCGCCCTGGAAAAACTGCGCTGTGACGAAAGCATCGATGACCTTCTCGACGAAGACAGCGAGTTCAGTGTGTGGCGCTCTAAAGAGCGGTTTGTGCCACGCTTAATCAATGACGAAGCCCCCAACATTGTTCACTGCGTCGGATTGCCTTTCTTTTGACGCACACCTAGCACCTATCCAGCGGGACATTTATGCTGATTACTTGGACTTGGACGCGGATCACGCTGGTTTTGTACACTATAACTTGGACACGTATATTCATCGGAGAGCAACAGAAATGATATACCACCCAAAAAACTGCTTAGACAACCAGTCTCAGGTTTGTTTCGATCGCCACACGCCCATGGGTCATATACAAACACGAAGGGTGTGCACCTGCACATATATGGATACATGTACATTAATACACATAATCATGAATAAAAAAAAAACACAAATCTACATAGAAATAAAGGCACGTTGATACACTTGCACGCCCATACCTGTCAAGTTGTAAAACGTTTAGTTGGTAAGGCGCATATGAAGTCCATTTTCCAGTATTAAGGCATGATCCACGCACTTAACGTGAGCATTTATTTTTCATTAATTTTTATCACAATTATCATTATGATCAATTGATATTATAATCTTTATAATTGAAAGTATGATATTTCATAACACACCATTTCACTCAATCGTTAAACATATATATTTTTACAGGTTACAGTAGGAATGCGGGCAATACTTATACAGTGGCTCACGAAAGTCGTCCACCAGCACTTTCGTTTTCACCAAGACACGCTATATCTGACAGTCAACATTCTAGATCGCTTTCTCGCCTCAACACCTGTAAAAATAGAATGTTTTCAGTTGCTGGGTGTCACGGCACTTCTTGTAGCAGGGAAGCATGTGAGTAAATGCCGTAGTGAAGATTACCGGTTTGTTGCGGCTGTGATTGTTGTACAGTCACCCATACCGCATTTCTTTTTGCCTGCAGCGCAGCCCTATGGGTATATATATAAGATTTTATCTTCTTCTTCTCCTTCTTAATTTTTTCGTCTTTTCTTCTTGCAGATGAGCTATTTTCACGGCAGGTTATATAAGGTCCGGACCTTATGCTTGTTTGTGGTGTTTGTGCGTACAGTGATTTCATTTTTCACTACTGTAAGTACAAAGCCGTGGTTGTTCAGTCTCTTTTTCTTCATACTTTTATTTTAAGTGAAACCATGGAAACACTATATCGCGTTCCCGTTTGTAAACTGTCATATTATGAAAATGTATTTCCTAATATGGTTATGGGACGTTTAATTTTTTTGTTATTTTTTAATGTTATAGACTTGTTTTGCCAAGAACATCATTTCTGTGTCACGCTGTCGACGAAACGATTTTTGTAAATGACCAAAAAGAAAGAAGAAGAAAATGAAAGATAAACAAAAAACATTAGAACCGAGAAAAGAAGAGACCAAGTCAAAAGAAACCCGTAATGAAACACACCAACATTAAGTCTATCTATAATAATGCTTTTATTGATTTTTCAAATTAACTTGTGATAATACTAGTGCTAATCCCCCTCATATTTTCAGGTCTATTTGGGAACTGCCACTGGGTTATGACGTAAACTATATAGAGAAATAATCTGTCCTGAAATTGCTGTTATTGTCTCCCCCCAGGAAGAGATCTACCCGCCAGAAGTGGAGGAGTTGATTCGACTGTGTTGTGGGGCTTACGATCGCGCGCAAATCATCCGGTTAGAGCGCCTCGTCCTGGAACGCCTGGGCTACACTTTTATGGTGCCCACCACGCACTATTTCCTGGAGCAGTACAGTTCTTCGCGGTTGCTGACGAGGCGACTGGCCGGGTGCACCAAGGATGATATAAGGTCATAATAAATAAAAAAAAGAGGTCCCCTCTTGAAATACTCTATCGAAGCGAATACTTGTTATGGTTCAATGTCGCCATGTCTATTTCTCCGTATATCTATCTATCTATCTATCTATTTGTCTGTCTGCCTGTCTGTCTGTCTGTCTATCTGGTTTGAACTTGGCATTCTCTTCTCGTTTGCCATTATGCTACAATTTTCAGATTGGTTCCCGTAAACATAGAAAAGCTAAATGAAATGGTAAGGATATGATGGGCGAATTATTGACGCGTATTATTCCGTTAAAACTCTTTGGGCGTGTTTTTGATATTTTTACACAGAATCTAGAGTAAATTTCTTTTAAAACGTATTAAAAGGTGTTCAAACATTTCTAGATCAGTTTGAATCAGTACAAACGAAATTAACTGCCTACCTACGAGACTCGATTTCGTTTACTTTTAAGGTATTGAACTGTTCTAAACATGGTTTACTTAAATTATTAAATGGAAATTAGTCACATCTAGCTGCCCCATGACTTAAATTTTTAAGATGATTGAAGTAATTACTTTTCTTTCAGACACAGAATTTTAACCAATCTTTACGTAAGCATGCCTACTATATATTTCTAACAGATGAAAGTCAACGTTTTAGGAAGACAAGAGCCATCGGGCGCTATTTGGCGGAACAATCTCTGCAGGATTACGACATCTGCCAGTTTTTGCCATCTTTGGTTGCCATTTGCGCTCTTGAAATGGCAGACGATCTCCTTCAGCACGTGACCAGAGTGAAGACAGCATGGATCGCCGGCTTTAACCGTGACGAAATTGAAAAGTGTTTGCAGCATATTCGCGTCATGTTTTCGTCTCTTGGTGATGATCCTAGCGATTTGATGAGCATATGTAATGCATATGGATACCAGTATAAAATGAAGAGTTTGTCACCGACGTCAGTGTTATAATACACGGAAAGCAAAGAACGCCATAGACGCGGCGCAGTTGACCTTGTTTGTTCGGTTTCAGAGAGTTCAACGTACTGGTAAATTCAAATAACATCCTAGAAAAAAGCATGTGGGAATTGCTGACGTTGTCGTAAACCAAGTGTAAGTAAAAGTCAAGACGAGTTTTTAAAAGACGCGATGGTAAAAAAAGGTTAACACCCAATGAGAAATTTAAATGATCGGGACAACAATTTAATGAAAAGACCCCGGTTTGTTTCTTCCAACCATATTTTACATGTGGTAGGGATGGGTGATATTGACTGTGATATGTTTGAATACAGGTCTAGTATATTTCGAGTTTATAGATTCTTTCAGCCAGTATTTATTTTTCACATACGTTATTTATTCCTTTACTTTCATGAACATCATCAAATACATCCTATTTATTATTCATAAGCGAAACTATCTTTATTAATTCACTTTTTTCATATTTACTCGTTAATGTGTTTATTTATTCAATGTAAGATATGTTGATCATATTATCTGTTGTTGCCAAAAATATAGTAAAAATCGTAAAAGTAGGAAATTAGAAAAATGAGAAAAATGTGCAATAATTATGTACATCATACTGTACAATTGGGTAACGTATAACATATTGATATTAATACCTATATGCATAAAAATGAAGACCCACTGATCCTGGTTGTTGACACAGACCTCGCAATTGCAAGAACCACAGCGTCAAAACAAGTTTCTATTTTTATTAGCAAAGGAAATGTCCAACTGCCTGGCAACAGTAGGTGATTTGAGGGGGCGTGAAATAATGTGGTTTTTACCTGCAAAACAGTACATTAGTCAAAAATAACTTTCTGAATATATCTGTACATATCACTATCTTATTGTTTAGCAATTGGAGATATGTTAAAAAAGAAAAAATTCTGTGATATGATTTTATTTTGATATTTCCTTGCCTCGAGAAGACATTTACCCCAAAGCGATAGGGATTTATGTTCAATATTTAGTCGTTTTATCTATTGGTTGATGTTATCTTTTCTTTGTGTGTTCAACCTGTTAAATGGTTTATTGCATGCTTTGCTTTTTTTAAACACAGTTGTGAAGATAGACAATAAAGTATACATTTGTTACTGTCGCCACTCTGTTATTCAATCTGCCACGATTATTACACACCTGGTGGTCTGGGGTTGATCAAATCCACGTAATTTAATAAGAATAAGCCTTGTGCATCACAGTGCATCACATGCGTAATAAAACCCATGCAGCAACTCTTTCTTAGGACAATCCGATCATTATCGGCTTTTTCATCAGTTTTTCAATATAATAGCATTAGCCACCGTATTGATCTTAATCAAATTGAAGCAGAAAACATATTCCAGTATATCTCATCATATCACAATTTTGGACTTCTTTTTGCTCATACTTAAAAAATAAACTAAAAGCAGGGTTTTGTGGGTTTTGTATATCGCTATATTAACTAACCGGCAATCGAGCAACCCTTTCTTCTCTCTTAATGAAAACCTGTCTTGGCATGCTATATTGGGCAATTACTGTGATTTTAACTGAACCTTGTCTTCCTTTTTATTTTGAATTGCTCACATTTTAATAATTTAAAAATTTTTGACGTGTGGCTGACATGCTTGTGCTTTATCTCATAGTTGCCTCGCACACCGCCAGGGGTCAGGCAAAACGTTCTCGGTTGACGGATGGACGGACTGCGCGTATCTTTCTTCTGTTATGCTTACTCACTCCCGTTCTCTATCGGTGGGGGGTCTGATTTCTTTACTCTCCGAAATGATAACAAGAGTATTTGAGAAAATTTCCCCATTAAATCAATTAATTCATACGTATTTCTCATTACGATAACGGAGTTAAATACTTCTGTCATACAGATGTAAAGAAACACATGGGCCGTATTCGCTGAATGTAAGTTTCCCCTACTACTGATAAATAAACAAGTCTCCAACACGTTCGTAATAAACATTTTACTTCTTTTCTAAATACCTTGGCTATTAAATGTAGCACTGAAATGCGAGTCTCTTCCTTAAAGATATCAAAACGTGATGAACGACGCAGAGACGAGTTTTCTTCAGCAGGAAGTTCGCGGCCGCTAAATCTTCTCAAATGCTTTTATCCTTTACGAAGTGGAGAGGTCTTAGCACCGGTAAGTGGGGCCCCCGCGCTTCCAGCAGACGACATGACAGTCTGTCAATCTCGTCTGCCTTAAAGGAACGAAAGGGGATTATCAACTTCTTCCACAATTTTTATACAGGTACAGAATTTTATAAATGCAGATCATTATAAACACGGCGGGACGTCCTTGGTGGTCGCTTTCCTATGCTAAAGTTGCTTTCCGCGATACGTTTAAAGTAGTTCTTTAATAAATGTTAACTGCTGCTCGTTTTCAAACAATCAGATACACAGCTGCTCAATTTTTTAGCTGAATTGTATTCCTGGAGTCAAAGGTTCTGTTTGTTTATTTTTTTTCCACTCAATTCATTTATTTATTTATTCAATTCATTAATTAATATAATTTGATAAAGATAAATCTAAAAAAATAAGCTGACAACCCAAATTGCAATACAACTGTAATGCAATTAAGAAAATCATGTCATTCACTTTTTTTAAGTAGCCCTTCCTTCTTCTCTCGGAGTGCAGCAGTTAAAGCCTAATTACACGAATTACATAGAAGTGAAGTATGAAGTACGACGATGATGCGAGGCCTAAATGTCACCCCAGTCTCAGTGTGAAGCCAGCGAGGTGAGATTTGGTAAGGAAAGCCGGTATTATGCTATTGCTACCTGGGGAGGAGCGGCGCCGTCGAGCAGGTCCACAAATTTAAGTAATAAAACGCGCGGCTACATAGGGGAAGTGGGTACGTGCGTGGGGGAGAAAGACGTGTGCCTGATGAAAAGCATTTTTCTGAACAAATGATGAAAGTCGGAATTTTTGTTTTGAAATAACATTGTGTTTGTCTCCTATACAGACTATCACGAAATTCTCCATGCCATAGAGTTCTGACAAGTGCTGAAATATGTACTTATCTTTGCTTATTCCGCCCAGAAAAAATGCCAACTATGAAGAGAAATCCGTGTACAGGTTTTATGACATTAGGAGAATTCGGTGCTGTAGACCGGTTTCTAGTTGAAAGAGACAACAAAGCGAAGTACGCTCCTCCTCCCCCCCCCCCCTTCGGGAGTAGGGAACGAATTGACCTCTCTTTTACATTGCATTATTTTTGCAGATCTTCCTTTTTTTTCTACACACTAACATGTAAATTCTATTCATCCGACTATTGGCAAAGATTGTCGAGTTTCTTTTTCTCACTCTGCTAGTACCGCTGTCTACTAAACATGCACATAACTATTATGTATACATGTGCACCTTGTATTTTCATGTCCAAGTGTGCAATATCCTTGATGTGAAACACGAAAATTATTAATCAAATATAGGTTACTGTACGGTATTTAAATCACAAAGCAAACGCTATGACAAAATTATAATTACCCTGACGGCAGACTGATTTTTAGGTAGATAAATTTAAAANCTTTTTTTTAAACACAGTTGTGAAGATAGACAATAAAGTATACATTTGTTACTGTCGCCATTCTGTTATTCAATCTGCCACGATTATTACACACCTGGTGGTCTGGGGTTGATCAAATCCACGTGATTTAATAAGAATAAGCCTTGTGCATCACAGTGCATCACATGCGTAATAAAACCCATGCAGCAACTCTTTCTTAGGACAATCCGATCATTATCGGCTTTTTCATCAGTTTTTCAATATAATAGCATTAGCCACCGTATTGATCTTAATCAAATTGAAGCAGAAAACATATTCCAGTATATCTCATCATATCACAATTTTGGACTTCTTTTTGCTCATACTTAAAAAATAAACTAAAAGCAGGGTTTTGTGGGTTTTGTATATCGCTATATTAACTAACCGGCAATCGAGCAACCCTTTCTTCTCTCTTAATGAAAACCTGTCTTGGCATGCTATATTGGGCAATTACTGTGATTTTAACTGAACCTTGTCTTCCTTTTTATTTTGAATTGCTCACATTTTAATAAATTAAAAAATTTTGACGTGTGGCTGACATGCTTGTGCTTCATCTCATTGTTGCCTCGCATACCGCCAGGGGTCAGGCAAAACGTTCTCGGTTGACGGAGACGGACAGACTGCGCGTATCTTTCTTCTGTTTTACTTACTCCCGTCCTCTATCGGTGTAGGGGGGGGGGGTCTGATTTCTTTACCCTCCGAAATGATTACAAGAGTGTTTGAGAAATTTTCCTCATTAAATCAATTAATTCATACGTATTTCTCATTACGATGACGGAGTTAAATACTTCTGTCATATAGATGTAAAGAAACACGCGAACCGTTTTCATTGAATGTAAGTTTCCCCTACAACTGATAAATAAACAAGTCTCCGACACGTTCGTAATAAACATTTTACTTCTTTTCGAAATACCTTTGCTATTAAATGTAGCACTGAAATGAGAGTCTCTTCTCTATTTTAAAGATATCAAAACGTGATGAACGACGCAGAGACGAGTTTTCTTCAGCAGGAAGTTCGCGGCCGCTAAATCTTCTCAAATGCTTTTATCCTTTACGAAGTGGAGAGGTCTAAGCACCGGTAAGTGGGAGCCCCGCGCTTCCAGCAGACGACATGACAGTCTGTCAATCTCGTCTGCCTTAAAGGAATGAAAGGGGATTATCAACTTCTTCCACAATTTTTATACAGGTACAGAATTTTATAAATGCAGATCATTATGAACACGGCAGGACGCCTTTGGTGGTCGTTTTCCTATGCTTAAGTTGCTTTCCGCAATACGTTAAAAGTAGTTCTTTGATAAATGTTAACTGTTACACGTTTTCAAACAATCAGAAACACAGCTGCTCAATTTTTTGCTGAATTGTATTCCTGGAGTCAAAGGTTCTGTTTGTTTATTTTTTTTTCACTCAATTCATTTATTTATTTATTCAATTCATTAATTTATATAATTTGATAAAGATAAATCTTAAAAAAATAAGCTGACAACCCAAATTGCAATACAACTGTAATGCAATTAAGAAAATCATGTCATTCACTTTTTTTAAGTAGCCCTTCCTTCTTCTCTCGGAGCGCAGCAGTTAAAGCCTAATTACACGAATTACATAGAAGTGAAGTATGAAGTACGACGATGATGCGAGGCCTAAATGTCACCCCAGTCTCAGTGTGAAGCCAGCGAGGTGAGATTTGGTAAGGAAAGCCGGTATTATGCTATTGCTACCTGGGGAGGAGCGGCGCCGTCGAGCAGGTCCACAAATTTAAGTAATAAAACGCGCGGCTACATAGGGGAAGTGGGTACGTGCGTGGGGGTAGAAAGACGTGTGCCTGATGAAAAGCATTTTTCTGAAGAAATGACGAAAGTCAGAGTTTCGTTTTGAAATAACATTGTGTATCTCCTATACAGACTATTCTCCATACCATAGCGTTCTGACAAGTGCTGAAATATGTACTTATCTTTGCTTATTCCGCCCAGGAAAATGGCAACTATGAAGAGAAATCCGTGAACAGATTTTATGACATTAGGAGAATTCGGTGCTGTAGACAGGTATCTCGAAAGAGACAACAAAGCGAAATACGCTCCTCCTCCTCCCCCCCCCCCTGCGGGAGCAGGGAACAAATCGACCTCTCTTTTACATTGCATTTTTTTTTGCAGATCTTCCCTTTTTTCTACACACTAACATGAAAATTCTATTCATCCGACTATGGGCAAAGATTGTAGAGTTTCTTTTTCTCGCTCTGCCATTACCGCTGTCTACTAAACATGCACATAACTATTATGTATACATGTGCACCTTGTATTTTCATGTCCAAGTGTGCAATATCCTTGATGTGAAACACGAAAATTATTAATCAAATATAGGTTACTGTACGGCATTTAAATCACAAAGCAAACGCTATGACAAAATTATAATTACCCTGACGGCAGACTGAATTTTTAGGTAGATAAATTTTTAATTTAGGAATTGATGAAAGTTGAAAAATAGAGAAGAGATCGGAGTGGGCGAGAGAGAGGATTAATCCCAACTTGTCAAAGTCGCAGAGTTGATTAAGAAAACAGCATGCGAAAGGTCTGATTATTTCAACACAGAGGATAGCCTGTAGATTTCGTGACGTCTGATATAATAGTGGTAATGAAAAGATTTAGGCCTTATGGATATTGATAATTGAATAGGGATTAAGAATAGTAAAATTATGGAACTAATAACGTTTTATCCCACCTGCCACTTACATACCAGAGTTGTTGACCACTGGCGGGAACAATAGTTGTCCAAGGGGGACGCCATCTCAAATGATCTGCTTGGGGATATTTTCCCATCTAATTAAGTTCAACTTAACCAGGGTTTTACTGAATGTAAATCGGAAGGTCGACACCATAATTCCGACAACACCTTTCACCCAATGTACCGCAATACAGCATTGTCCGGACATTTAGTAGCAGAGAAGAGAAGTGAATCGCGAATACAATACAACAATCAAACTGCCATCACTCTTCATTGTGCAATCTTGTCACAGGGGTCAATATGTCCGTCATCGGGATAACGGGCCATGGAGAGTATATGATCCGTGTAATATGACCAGTGTAGTTCTTTGATCGCTGATTGTTAAGAACAATACTGTCTGCTACATTGCAAGGATGCGTTGGTGGACGAAAGAAGATGCGTAGGAGAATATGTATTGATTGGACGTAACGCGTGTTTATCATATGTTGTTTTTATATTTGGAAATCAATAGAATATAATTAATATCAGGATTAAACATATATATCTTGTGATTACTTAATGAAAAATCTTGTTGATGAAAGCGTCTAGCAAGGGTAAGATTTTGATTGGCAATTAATTAATTAATTACTGTACGAGTAGATACAGTTCATACATGTATTTTGTGTAAAAATATAAAATCTGCGCTTGGTTACGATTCTCTCAAATTCTCTCAGAATATCATTTCATGAAATTTGTTCGTGCAAAACTAAAATTATTTTTCAAATAATTCAGAGTTTTAATCTATATTCTTATACAAGTGTCGTTAAAAGAAAAGAAGTACAGCATATATGTGCTGCAGAATTATTCCAACACTGTGCGCATGTTTCGGGTCTCTTTGATGACTTCAGTATAAGATGATTATAACGCAGGTAAGATCGAGTCCGTGTTCGTCTTCTGTAACTTATGTCCAACAGTGAATCTTATGAACATGTACGACTCATAAATTATTAGCTATAAATCTGATTACTTGGGATGAATCCATAAATAACAGATTTTCTAGTAGATGAATTTTGTAATATTTCATCGGCATAATCCCCAACGGTGACATTTAATCAATGTCTTCGCAGCATAAAACTTGTATTTGAATTAGATGATTATCTTTATATTTGTGGTATTTGAAGGGGCTGTCACTCATTAAAACAATCAATGACGAATAAGAGGGGCAGCAAAACGTATTTTCTGTTTTTATATCAAGTCCTGCTTTTGCATATTCTTTTTCTTTTTTCTTGGGACTTTTCTCTCACTTTAAAGGAAAGGCTATAGAACCATTCATACTCTGCAAAAAATACTATTTGAGAGCGAGGTGATTTTTGTCGCTTGCTTTATATTAATATTTTTACCAAATAATCATGCCTCTGTGGTAAAATAACTTCTGCAATCTAAATTATATCAAGGCATCTTGGTGACCAAAAGGCTTTCCCATCTCACTGCCTGTGCCTAACCGTCTCTACTGCTCGCCGGCGTCGCCCCGCTAAACGCCCGGTGTTCAACGCTGAAGAGTAAAATTTCCTTTGCTCACAATGCTTTTGGACTTTAGTTGAAGTAATTCAAAAATTACTTTAAAATTGTCGTGTTTTTGCGTTGTTTAGCTGTCAACATTTTGATCATCGTCTGCTGTCACAGCCAGAGTCAGATTACGCGGGGAGCACTGACGTCTGGGTTTGCCAGCTTTAATCTGCGCTTTCAGTTGTGAAAACAATGTGGTTGCAAGAAATCACGCCTTATCAAACCTGTGTACCTCTGATCACACGCTTCTAAATACGTATGATGTGATATTACAGACATATTTTCATTAAAGCAGGCTCCCAATGAGGTCTAGTTGGCAGTGGGGAGCAGGGGGTTAGGCAGCTTACCGGCTTTAATAATCTCGGTTATTAAAGCCTATATTAGGTTCCCTATCTCTCTCTCCGCTGGAACTAAAATCTAGTCATTAAGCCCAATTTGCAGCTCCTTCTCTTCCAACCGTGTAATCCAGGCAGAAAACCCATGTCAAAAATAATAAAAGGTATCCTAATTTCATTATAGAAAGCCACCAGGGCTTGGAATGGCAGGTTGCTGTGTAGGCATCAAACCGCTCCTCTGATTGGTCTAAAGTTGGGTGACGTCAGGAGCTCCGCCTCTCAAGATTACGACCTCTCCGTTGAGTTCTGATTAGTACAGAGTTGCAGCCCACAAAATACTTTGTAGTGGTTCCTGGACTGTCAAATCTAGTGGCAGCCATTGTTTGGTGGAGAGGCTGAGTAAACGTGTAGGAATTCGATGGACTCCCAGTTAAATCAGAACGACAAACATTGAACAATTCGACATAGAAAATATAGACCGTAACGCACACGTCTTTTAATATTGGAGTGAGAGACGGAGTCGGAATAAGGTTTTGAGGATCCAACAGACACCCTTCAAAAGTATACGAATGACAACATAACTAGAAGTGTGTTTTTATTTTTGTCTCACAACGATTTGGTACGATGACCAGTGCCGTGCAACCAACCCACACTATAGACGCTATACTAGGCTTGAGAAATGACAGCTGTAAGAGTGAAACTGAGGACACCCTAGTAAAAAGCCAAGATTTCTTGGGCCGAGGGGAAGATGCAGACAGACCACAACAATATCACAGCGAAGAAAGGAAAGGTATAGCAATTGTCATTATTGCCTTACAACATCCTGAATAGTTTTCCCCACACCTAGCATGTTTTTAGTTCTACGGAGGGACCTTTTATTTTTATTCAATTTTAATCTATATAATCTATAAAACTTGTTTATGTTATTTTAGAAATCACATTGCTTTAAAAAGTTCTTGTAAACGTAATTATAAGTAATTCAAATAATAATTTCAAAGAAAATATAATGTGATAAGGAGAGTGTCATGCGAACAAATTATTCTTTATGTGGTATTTAGAAATAATAATAATAACAAGCAATTTAATTCAGGTCCTATATTAATTTGTTCAATACTGTGTATAAATTGAGCTAAGACCATAGCTATGATATCCGTTTCATTTTGCGTCCAGTTGACCTGGCAAGTGTGGTGAGTGGGAGCAAAGAGATTTTAATAAGAAATTGATAACGATATCTGAAAAAAAGGATGGACTTTGTAGGCACCAACAGCAAAAATTAAAACAAGGATACAAGAAGATATAATATAAGCAAAGACAATTAATCAATTATTTTCATATTGTCATACTACAGAGAGAGAGAGAGAGAGAGAGAGAGAGGAGGGGGGAGAGAGGGAGGGAGGGAGAAAGAACGAGAAAATGTAAATGTACAGAAGTAGTGAAATACACGCAGCTTGCTATAAATATTGCAAAATATTTTGCAATAACGATTTTAAGTTTAAGAATTTTTTACTGTTAAAACTGATGCCGATTGAGAAATAATGTGAGACCATTAAAGAAGAAAAAGGAGTAAAAAACTGGAAATGTTACTCAATACGTTGTGTATATAAAAAGAAGTGCAAACATTACGATATTTCTTTAATTGTAGTAGTATTCTTTAAAAATAATTTTGTATGTAATTGAAATGCCTCTAATTGTAATTTTATTTTACCATATATCTCCCAGCAGTTTAACATATTTAGAATTAACAATAAGTCTGTTTAAAAGTAATGAGTGATATGACGATATACCAGCCTCACGAGGTAAAGTCAATGAAGTTATAATCACTGTAAACGATAGGGAACAAATAAAGAAAAAAATATCAGATAAACTTTCCCTCAACCTGAACTTGTAAGAATGCTGAAATAAAACAATACTGGGAGAGCACTCAAAGAAAAAAGAAACCATCCAAGTTTGCGTTCGGTCTTCATAATTGTCTCACATGTCATCTTCTCTAAAAGGATGTATGTTTTGTCTCTGCAAAGTATTACTGGAATTAAAAGAAGTCCTTGAGAAATCCTAGAAATGAAATGGTCAAATTAGTGAGCTTTCTAGTCAGTGATTGCTTTTTTATCACGTGTCTTCTTTCACGCAACTTCTCCCTTCACGCTGTGATCAAAGTGCCATCATCACTAGCAGAATATCTGACAGATCACAAAAGAATGATGACTGTCTCAAAAACGCTAAGTAGTCACGGCGGAATCATACTGTTATTAAAAAAAGATTGAGAACTAATTATTTTCGCTTAGCGAAAGTCCCACTTAGAAATGATCGTCTGCTGCCAACTTGAGGAAAAAAAGGAAAACAGTAGTGAAATCGATGGCATAAAGGTAGGGGAAACAAATCAAATTAAAAAGCTATCAAAGACAAAGGAATTCGTAGGTCTTCCGTAGAAGAATTGCGTGCCGGGGACTCGGCTTTTAATTTAATCAAAAGACTGCTGAATGGCTTCTGTTTACGCCGAACTAAGGCACATGATCAATTACTAATTTACTTGTTTCCTCCGTATTCTGTATATGTTTGATGAGGCGTAACTGCGTTTCCTGCGCGTTTTTATCTTACGACGTAAGACGTATAAGCGAACGCGGCGTATGCCCTTACAGTGAATAGGCTAAAAGTAGTGGTCGCAATCGCTTCACCGCTTTTTATTTCTTGTTTAACAATAGCAGGGAATTACTGCTAATGTCCAAAGATTATAGGAGATCATTAAGTCTCGGCTATGGTTTAATTTTTCATAAAGAGCTGTCATTTTCGTTTCCTAAGAGGAATGCTAGAATGGCGTGTTAGCAGAGTTAAAGTAGCCTAAAATTGGCCCTGGAAACGCGAGGTCTGCAAGTACTACACGATTGACTCTAGTAATGTTGCCGCAATCTAATCAATAATTACAAACCGAAACCAGTAATTTAATTACAACACCTCCATTAACTAATAAACAGGGCTAATTTAAGGGGCGAGATTACACAAACTGTGTAACCATAGGTCCCAAAACACAATGGAATAGTTCACCGATAATTACTTGTACAAGATACACTGTAATTTAATCAACTGTTCTACGATTTTCATACACTAAGAACTTCACCAGTCAGCTATTGGAACGATTCCAATAAGAAAATTAATGTTTTTGAATAAAGAAATCGTGATATATAAAAAACATAAGTGAATTTATTGTTCATAAACTGCTATTTTACATTTTCTTTTCTACGTTTTGAAAAGGTTTGGTTTAGCCATATACTGGTTTGTTTATAATCATTTGATAGGGATTGCGGCTTTGTGAACACACTTTCTGTTGAACATAACTTGATTTTTTAAACATTGAAAACCATTCGCATTTAAAAGCTATGCAAAGCTCTTGATCTATTTTAATTTTTTTTTTCACAGAACGATTGACTTCTCATATGATCGAAATTGACGGAAAGAAGACTGCAAGTCAAACTACGACGACGACGAGCTACAGTTCCGACCAAGACGAAGAAGGAACAGACTCAGATAAGGAAGACGCGTTCTCTGATGAACAACCCAAGAAAAAGCACAGGCGTAACCGAACAACATTTACCACATACCAGTTACATGAACTAGAGCGAGCGTTCGAGAAGTCCCACTATCCCGACGTCTACAGCCGAGAGGAATTGGCTCTGAAAGTCAACCTACCGGAGGTCAGGGTGCAGGTGCGTTTTTGGGCATATTACATTCATATCTATCGATCTTTAATTTCAGTCCAATTTTTTTTCTATTTGGATTCGACATTTGATTTAGGTTACCCGCATTTATTTAATTCTGTAACTTAGTGCCATTTGAACATACATAAGTGGCTATATAATCGGTGTTTCTTATATCCTCAAAATTAGGCCTACTCTCAATATAGCAGTGTAGGATGGTTGAGGTGAATGCAGCTGTTTTGTATTCCGTTTAAGTCCTGTGCATTGTTAGAATTGGCTCATTGCCTATTTTATTTTTCTTTATTTTATTGTTCTTTTTATTTTCAAGATGTGTTATCCTTTTTCAGGTATGGTTTCAAAATCGCCGAGCAAAATGGAGGCGGCAAGAAAAGATGGACAGCTGTGTAATGGGAGAAAACTATCCAATGAACAACATGCCAAATCGTAGCCCCGGTTCTTGTGCTACAAGTCTCTCGACGTCAATGCCTTTGGATTCGTGGCTTTCATCTCCGTTGGCCGGCACAACGGCTCTTCACGCACTGCCGGGTTTCTTGCCCCCCTCCTTCGCTGCCTATCACCCGTTCTATCCACAAGGCATATTAGCAAGCGCTGCTCTCATGGGCCATATTCCAAAAGTAAAACACACTCCACAAGCCTCATCCATACCAAGTGAAGACAAATGTGCATCGCCAGGTCCCGAGAGCCCCACTATGTCAGGTGATTTAAAGAGCACGAGTATCGCAGCTTTGAGGTTGAAAGCGAGAGAGCACATGGAAATATTGGGTAAAAATATATCTTGCTGAGAGCATATAACAAAATCAAAATTTGCTCCAACCAGGACTTTGATGGTGCAGCAATATCAATCACTTGTATTGATTTTATACTTTGAATCTACAAAGCTTGTCAAATATAATAACATAATGCTCGACACGCGGGATGGTCGATTAATTCCCGTGCATTCATGAAATCTTGCCACAATTTAGTTGTCATTGAAATGATGGTTTCGCAATCGCAGTGAATTATTGTATCTAATCAAAGCATAGTTAGATTAATTTGGCTGGAAGACGCCTTGCATATCTTAGTTGACGCACGTAGTGGTTGTTTTCAATTATATAGAACTTATTTATATGAATATATTTGCCGCCGTTTTTGTGCAATATTGTTGCTTTTTCGTTATGTATATTTTATGCATTTTCGTGACCAATATAATGATTCTTTGTTTTGTTTCGTGAGTAATTCAGACAATGGCTGGCTTTAAGCAAGTCTATAATATCCATTTTTGAAAATCAGTATATTTTGATAAATACTTGACGATATCGTTTTGGTAGAAATGTCAACATATTAACAACGTCATTAAAAGTTTTTTCTTCAAATCTGCACAAGTGAAAAAAAAACATTTGTCCCCACTAAAAGTTTGCTACTCCTCTTGCCAGTTTCTTTATATATATAAATGTACTCGTTTATTGTTGTACTGTAAGGATAAGAAATGTTTTAGATATAGATATAGTTCTATGAACATTCGGGTATAAATGAAATACATTTTTGAATTGTTTCTATCGTGTTAAAACGGCAGACACAACCGTTTTTTTTAGTATTTTTCACCCAAGGTCATTGCATGTGGTCATAGATTATAGAGTTTTGTGAATTAAGACAGAGGGGTTTATGGTTCTCAAATGGTCCCGTTAGGAGTCCTGATTAAAAGGTGCTAAATGTAAGGCAAGAGGTCTAGATTTTAATTAGGACATGCGAAAAGCTAATCTCTTCATTGTTAATTAAGTTAGATTACTTATGGAATCGATATTAAGGTGTGATGCTATCGCGGCTCTGATTACCACTGGGGAAAATGTCAATCAACTAATTTGTTAATTCAGGGTAAGCATTTCTTAATGGTCAGCCAAATTGCAGATTTAGATTTATTATACTTAATAGAAAAAATGCATATTAAATCTAACGGCCGATTTGTAGACTGTTGGCAACACCGTTCAGAAACTGAAACAACTTGCACGTTTATTAGAACATACAGTATGATTCGACAGGGCTTCAATTTCTGTTTTGTAGATATATATGAGTTTCTATAAGCTATCACACCTTGCACAGAAGACAAAGCGGATTGAAGCTACCCAAAACTGAATTTACACCTGAAAACCGCTGTAAGGAATATACAAATAAAGAATTAAAGAATTGCAAGGACAATCACTGTAACAGCCAGTATGCTTTGCTAAATATTTTGTTCCAATAAAATATTGTTGTCTATCTTGGTTTTATTCAGTGTCATGAGTTCTGTGGGTGTTGTCTAATTAAATAGGTTACCGTTTTGTTCCAGCAAATTGTTTTAATATCATTTCTTATGCATAACAATACGTTTGCCTGTTTGGCGTAAACTCTGTGATATTTAACAACTGGACTACTGCCCTTACAAAAGTACGGCAACGCACGAGGAGAAATCAACGCATGCGATAGTTAATCGAATCTATAGGCTCATTTTAAAAAATTTAAAAACCTTGTGGAATAGTGTCTTATATTACTTCACTGGTATTCTCAAACAAAATACGAATAATATTACTAATAATTTCACTATCACGAATAATATCACTATCACTAATAATATAATATTCATAATATAAAAGAAATTAACCGTGTTTTTTAATGTAAAGTGAAAAGACCATTTGTGACAGAGACACAACTAACGGCAAGCAATGGCATTTTGAAAATACATGTTATACGTGTGTTCCTTCATTCAAAAGTCAAAGTGTACCGTTTAGTCGCATGTTCTAATTTGTTGACACTAATGAAGGCAGTGTGCGCAAGTGTTAAGCCCTGAACTGATTTCTTGGTAACTTTGTTAAATTAAAGAGGAAGGGGTAATAAGACAATTATTTTATCAATACGCCATTATATTCCCCAGTTTTCTGCCACGACTTCTGTGAAATTCGTTGAACAAAATGTTGTGGCATATTACCGCACAATGGTCTTAATGATGTTCTAGATATACATGTACATGTACAAGGTATGGCTCCAGTAGGCCTAACGAATAGCTTACTGTCCACTACAGTGACATACTCATATACGCTATCTACTCATCAGCTTCGAAAAGTCCACAAAACACTTCTTTTGAGAGATACTTTCAGTTGAAATGATTCTTCAATAACTGTCTTACTATTTATAATTTACTTTAGAACTAATTCTGCTCAAGGCAGCGTGCGTTCTTTCCCCCATCACAATACGTAGCATATGCCACGTGAAGGGCACTCTGACGTGATCCGTGGTGACACCAAGCGTATAAGCCATGGTCAGGTAACATGGGCATTGTCAATAGAAAAGATAATTAAACTGACAAGAACCTTTGCTGACAGAACTAAAGGCAACAAATGATGATAAAAGGTCGCCATGTTCGGTGCAAAAGAGGTGCGTTTTGGGGTTAGTTAACTGAAGGCACACTTCAGGTATAAAGATGCTAATTAATGACTGTAAGGCGCGGTGTTTTGCATGTTTTAATGAGGCCACACGTGCACCTGCACACGATGTATGTTAAGTTACATAAAATACCATTTGATGTGCTATGAATGGATTCATTAAATTTATATTAAAAATCTAATGAATTTAATGTGGGTTCATTAGATTTTTAATATAAATGTGCTTGTAAAACGAACTAGGTTATCGAAATCAGTGGACCTATGTTTCCACCCCACCTCCCATAAAAACCAGTCTGTTCAATTCAACCTTTATCATTTTCATTCAGATAATCTCCTTTGTCGTTTGTCTATTATTATCTTATCTCCTGGCGTTTATCTTTAGAATAATCCAAATGTCTATTATGTTAAAAATTATCTTACAAAAGTACTGGTTAAAGAAAGGGAAACAATGAAATTACCACAGGTGCTTTTAAACTATTTTGTTTTTGTTTCTTAACACTTGTTATTTTATCTTAGAATGACGCCTAGCGCCTACGTTATATCCAAGAGACTAGATATAACCGCAGCATCAACGGTCCTCATCGGAGGCCCCAAGCGAGCCGTTAGGAGCAAATTACGGGCAGATTTTGCCTTTCACAATACACTTCTGTGCGCTTATTCGTCGTTAGCTTGTTAGTGGTGATATCCCGCAGCTTAGCTCATAATATTCAATCACAACATAAAATCTAGCCTAATATCACTTCATAACATATAATTTCGTTGTCAACTTCGATTTTGTATGATAGATGGTATAATTTGTCCAATTGTTATATTGATAGTAGAAAACTCTATTAGCGCGTAATGCATGGGAGAGAATTATGATTATTTGAACACAATTAAATGAATTGATCTCGCCACTGGGTAGCTTTATTGAGAGAAAATTAACTAACGAAATGGGAAAACCATAATGAAATCATAACCTTGGCATAATTTGATTTTGTAAGGCGGGTTTATACAAAACGTAATAATGAAGCGGCTACCCCGGGTGGCGTATCAGAGACAGATTTCTGTGGTCTGAGAAACGGAGTTTCACGATTCGTCTGCAACAAAGAAATCCATTTTCTTAATGTTGTTTGGTAAAACTAATAATTCTTCCTTGGAATATCATTTGCTCGGATCCATCCCTTATATGCTTTTACAGCTACTGTTTTAAGTATTCACATCAGATGAAACGCTTTATTTTTTTTCACCAACAATTTGTGCCATTTTAATCAAAATATCTACTATTTTTCTGGTGCGTAATCACCACCTTTACAACAAAAGCAACTGTAGTGCAAGGGCAAAAATGACTTAAGGCTTCGGCAGAGGCGGTGACTTATTAGTAGGCTTCAGGCGTTTCAACAAAACAAAACGGTATATACAGTAGTTGTACTGGGAAACTAGGTTATTTCTTGGCGTATCACTTGATACACACACGAGATTAGGCAAAGCAGATCAAAATATGATTTTCCAAATTTCTTCATCATTTCTTACTGAAAGGTCTGGTCGATGGGTTATCTAATTAGTAAGCAGTGGAATTTTTAGCTCTATATTATTGAAGGTTAAAAACTTGTAAACAGTATAGAAATAAAGCACTTCACAAAGGTATTGACCTTTTTCCTTTTTCAGATATATGTGTACTTTTCAATTGTGCACCTTTTAGAATATTTGAATGATAATGAAGAGGGAGCAGATTCGATGAACAATTCATATATATATATATATATATATATATATATATATATATATATATATATATATATATATATATATATATATATATATAGTTTTTTCTTTAATTCTAAAGTAATTCAAGCAGTGCTTAAGACTGAAACACGTTTCCAAATACTGTAGATGTCCAAGAGAGACGTATGCGGCGGCTCTTTTGTTTTAACCAAATCTATCTATTTTTTCTCAACAAAGATGATTTGTCATGTACAAATGGATCTGTGTTCCATTGTGTAGCTTCTTTTGTTCAAACGACGAAAATATGTTATGTGAAAAATATGCATTAAAATGACAGTTTAGATTAAAATTGATAAGTTGGCAGGTTTTCACAAAAATAAATTAAAATAGAGCCTTTGAAGAATCTCTGTGATTGACGTATATGTAACATACATGTACATGTAACTTAGCGGATTCGTACTGGATTTCAAAACTTGTCTGGTGACCGCTATAATACATGTAGTTGGGATTGGAAAGCGATAAATAAACAATTACATAAACATTTACAAAATACTTTTTTATTCTTTCACGTCACCTTACTGAACAAAACCAATAATTTAATCATATAAAGTATAAAACAACAAAGTTACGCGTAATTTATTATAACAAATTCATGATATATCTTTACGGTACAAAACTTTATAATGATAACAACTTGCCTTACGGAAAAGAAGTGCTCAAATAACCAGAATCATTTTCAAAAAATGTCTGAGGTGATTTATATATGTGGGCAAAAGGGTTATATCTGACATCACCTGAAGATGATAAATGCTATAATTAAATAACTATAAAATAAATAAATGATTAATAAAATATGATAACAATTTTTAATAAACAAATTTAATTTAAAAAGTAAAAATTACAAAAAAGAAAGCTTGTGTCTAGTAATCAATAAATTGACTCCAAAAGTGGCACCACTGCATCAGTGCCAGATAAAATATACATAAACATATATCCCTGGACACGAGTCCTACTAATACATATAAATATAGAATAAAATTACACATATACATATATATATATATATATATACAGCGCCATCTTGTGCTAGATCTTTTGGCAATTTTAGGTGAATAAATATACAGAAAGGTCTTTAGTTGCTCATTCTTTAGAAGGAGAAATATCCAATGTTGCATAGTGTTCTTGAGCTTTTAGCCGCAGTTTGTCTATACTCGTTCGGCGCATGTCCAGAGCCTCTCCATTTCCTGAGCTTGTGGCCAGTGAGGACCCCCTAGTCGGTGTGGCTGGGGGGGACGACTGAGACCCTTGAGGAGAGAGATAGGAGGTCACGAAGCTACCGCCGTATGACGGGGCTAGAGGATGGGCAGCGGCGTTGATGAGGTAGCCAGTTGGCATCAAACCCCCATAAGGGGCTTTATTTTGAAGATATTGGCCATGGAGGGCGGAGAGCCCAGCCTGGTGAAGAAACAACATGGGATTCACGCCTCCGAGATGTGGTATTGGGACTCGGCCTGTTGCCCACAACGCCGCCGCTGCTGCCGGGTCTGTTGAGGCGATGGCGCTGTTCCCGGCTAGGGCAGCCATGTCAACCAGGCCTTGGCGGTGTTCTGGAGGGATGAAGGAAGGACTGTCACGGCCCAGGGATTTCTCGCGTTTGCGCCACTTCGCACGTCTGTTTTGGAACCAAACCTTTAAAAAATAAGAAAAAAATGAGATTTAATAATAAAAACTGATTTTATTGAAATTCAATCTTATATCAAAAGGACAATCTAAGTCTCGTTTTATTACACCTCACTCAAATTGGGATCAAACTAATCAAAGCTTTAAAAACAGTGGCACAACTTTGCATATTGTTTGTTCATGTCCATATTCATGATATCGTACGAGTCATTTAAAAGTAAAAATTTCTTTTCTAAAGAATGTACAACTACTAGTTCCCTATGCCCAAGAATATATCAATATATGTAAAATCTAAAGAACACGTTTGCTCTCTGATGACTTAATGAACGTTGTGGATTCCCTGTCGTTCCCAGCGATACTCAGGGATGGTTCATTTTAGCATTAGACACGGAGGCAGGTGTTCTCAGACCCAATCAAGGACTTTGGTTCATTATTTCTATATCCCCATCGCCCCTCTAATATATTTGCTTAAGGACTCTATTAAATTGATGATTATTACTTAGGTCTATTCACAACGCTGCTAATCATTAAGCCTCTGGATGAGAAGGGACGACTCTGCATGCGATTTTAATGAAGCAGATTGAAAATCAAACGTTAGTGAATTTGTGTAACGAGTTAGAAAATTGAGCTAATAAAATGAAGCTGACTTCGATGTTTGCCTTCAGACTTGCGATTAGTGATTGAGGGTTCCAACACTCGAAATGGATCACGCCAACGAGTTATCTCAATTTCGCCGTAGTCTCATAACTGAAATGTTGCAATGATCACGTCCGTTGCTCCATATAAGTAGAACTGCTCAGCATTTTTTTACTTTTCTTGGAAAAGCCTCAAAATTTATGTTTTTATTCTAAATTTGTTGATTTTTGACAAAAATGAGTGATGACATCAAGGTAAATATTGCGCGTCAGTCATCATAACGTCCCCGTTTGATGACTCAAAGGCGTGAGCTAAACCCCATAATTTTCGCATTATTTCGTTAGGTGAATTTGAAGCGAAGGGGCGAAGGACAACCGACTGAGTCTACTGTGTTGAAAGGTCTTGAAAAGCATGAGATCCAATAACTTCAGATTGTGTATAAATCTACACCGAAAGCACCTGTTCAAGTGACAGAAATTATCGGATGGAAAAATATCATTTCCTCTTTTGGTGTTAATTTTCTTGGTTTAAAGAGAAATTTTCATACAAAGACAGCAACAACATGATAATTAATGCTTCGAGTCTATTTCTTAATTCTATACGCCTATCCTACTGCCTGAAAATCAAACTAATAACTGTAATTTGAACATTATACATATTGGCGAATTATAATTATAAATATAAAATTGATATAATTGACTCAATAACAAGGCAGCTATCCTCCCACACTACTTTTCAAAGCACACCCACTCATATTTAATTATTACTTGTGGGGTTTTCAAAATGAACAATGCTACGAATTACCATTAGAAAACTATAGGAAAAATAATATTAAAAACACACACGAAATCGGAATATATCGCTGTTAAGAACATAAAAACGATAAGGCCACAGTGCCCTAGACACAGGCAGACTAGAACAGAGTGACAACATGTGCTGAGTTGCTGACACATGCACTCGACGGTCTCAGGTAGCTATATTAACCCAAGTACTTGAGCCAGCAAATGAGTCTTGGTAGCCAAGACCCAGAACACCCTGCAGTCACTTAATCCCAGTCTCACAGTACGACTGAATACATTGATTAACTATTACTAGTAAACTAATTAACGAGGATTAAGAAGCCATTCGTTCTGTTGAACAAGGAGATGCAGCCATATAATGTTACTAAGTACACAATATCCGGTCATTTGGCAGGTGATTAACACAAAGCTTCTCTAATGAATTCTTACTAATTATTGGACTTATTTGTTTTCACTGTTTTATATGGGGACAAACAGAGACAAGGTGCCTGCGACACGGACGGCAGGTCTATGTCGCCGGCCCGGGCGCCATCCCCAGGTAAGCCAGACTGACGGCTATACGAACGCCAGAAAGGTGGTCATTTTTACCGCTTGGTGCACTTTGAAATATAAATAAACGTAGTAGCTTAAAATACAGGTAGAAATCATAACCACATATACTTATCAATGTCTCAAACCAAAACAGGCTGAAAACGTTTTGTGATAATATAATATAATATAATATAATATAATATAATATAATATAATATAATATAATATAATATAATATAATATAATATAAGGCATCGATCCGTGAAAGAGACCCTCGTTAAAATTGCGCCAATGTAGTGTAAACAGAAAAATATATAATATATCATGTTCTAGGGCTATATCTACTACAGTTTCACATTTCTTAGCCTACTTCTTTGTGTGGCTTAAATCTCTGCATTACGTAAATAAATAGTTTAGGTCTGTGTGTCTGTGATATATGTACTGCAGTGGAGAAAACAATTTTTGAACATTAACTAAAACGCAGTTTCCGCTTGATCGCACTTTTTAACTTATTTTTCGTTTTGGTAAATGGTCCGTTTTTTCTCACTACCATTTCAAACGTTAAATGGTGATACGTTTCCATATTAGTTAATTACCATTAAATCAGTCCTCGTTCTAATTAATGCCAAGCGCCCGTTTTCATGGAAACACAGAAACTTGCCCTGCCCTGTAATTACTGCCGTCACCAACTAGATATATACGCAGGTATCATTTGCCCTGCTTATTTATAGCCAATTATCGCTACTGAAAACCACAGCACGCTGGATTTTGTGGTATATTAAGCGGAAATTGTCTTAAAATCGAACTTACCAGCAACAGTTGTCACATTTACATGAAACGATTGCAAATCTAATTATCAAATTTCTAAAAGTGGTTTATTAACATGTCTCCTATATTCGGGACTGGTGATATAATGGAATATATCTTGAATATGAGTCGGAAGCAGGTGCTTCCAAGCTTATTTCTAAGTGACGGGTCTTTGTCTCAATAATTGGCAGACCATTTCCAAATGATAGATTTGAGTTACACAACTTACATAGTTGAAAGAGATACCATCCAAATAACAATTTCCAATGAATCCTTATCATTATCATTTTCAAGCCCCTATCTGAATAATAATTTACAGTGCTGTGGCCGAAGCCATGCAGGTTTCCAATTGATAGATGACCACATTAATCGGTGTATTTCGAGCAAATAACTATGAAAGAAACACGTGTAAATACAGTATAATTCCGCTGAAGCCACATACTATGCCCACCTCTGGTTTGACCGATATTTCTTATTTTATCACCACTGAATAACAAAATTGAGATAAGCCTCAAAAATAGACTACAGTTACCATAATTGTGCATCTTGTTTATTTGAAAGCCATATCAATAAACGGAAGTAATGATTCAAATCTTTTAAAAATCTGCACAATAAATTTCCCTTTTGAGTCTTGATTACAGTGAATAGTGTAGTTTCGAAAAAAAAAAACCTTCCCACAGTGTGCCTAGTTGTGTTAGTTTAAAAAAACAGCATGATTTGTCTGTGATCTAAATGGGTTATTCAGTTCATATTTAATGACGATAGTTAGACAAAAAGAAAATGTTAGTTTGATGTATTAAAATAATATTTTAATCAAATTTTGTCTTGGAGTTTTAATATCATTTCTAGTTATAATCATGATTTAATTTTATGTACTACCTAAAATAAATCGCGATAGAAAAAGGCTACTTTGATATTAATTATGTTTACACTCAATATATGGTTTGAAATTCTAATTAATCAGAACATATAAGCGTAAATAATAAAAACTTTTCCAAAAAATACGTCAGTTTTATGCACATTTGAAAAGAAGAAAGAATTAACAATAGTAAATTAGAATCTACTAGTGTCGTTTTGGACCTAAGATATAGTCTCATGTCTAGACTCGAAGTTTTTCTTCGTCTCTGTAGGTTTTAGTGCGTTTCACAGTCCATTCATATCTGCATTTTACAGTGAAACACTTATATGCCTAATGTAGTGTTACATTTTTGAAAAAAAGGGTGAATTAAAAATGGTTTGCAATTCGAAGACTAACGTTTCTCATTTCCCACTGTGTCAGTTCAACCAAGTACATGAATATGCATCAGCGTGGCATTTGTAGCAAACTTCTTTGGAGAACTGAAATAATTCTGATTGTTATACAGTCTGAAACGTTCCAAGACATTTGCTGTCAAACCTTTAGTGCAAAAATGGAAATAGATAAATGGATATCATTACATACCTGGACTCGGGCCTCGCTGAGATCTAGCCTCATTGCCAATTCCTCGCGCATGAACACGTCTGGGTACTGAGTCTTCTCGAACGCTCTTTCAAGCTGATGCAACTGGTACGTCGTAAACGTCGTGCGGCTTCGGCGAACTTTGCGGGGTTTGGAGTCTGGGGCGTCACTGTCTTCGGGATCTTCGTCTACATATCCCATGCTGATGCCGTCTTTACTGGTCTCGCCTTGGAGCGTGTCGTCGAACCCGCCTGACGATGGGCTTGTTTTGTGCTTGAACGGAACTGCTGGAACGACCAAGGACAATCCTGATGAGGACGGCGACACGGGAGGCGAAGGAGAGGTAGAAGGCGCCCTTGATCTTACCTCTGAAAAACAGAATTATAGATTTTTTAATCCAATTTATATTGGAACTGCAATTAATACCTCGGGCGAAGACTCAAGAGGAAGGAGGACGTTTGAACAAACGCGAGCCCTACCTACCTGTCATCCTAAACGGTAGTCAGGTTGATATGAAACGGCTTTAAGCTGTTTTATGAATCAATTCCAATTGTTTGATTCACTGGTGACTAAGGTCAGTGTCTTTGACATCTAACAGAACCCCGTTGGTAGTGTGAATACCGTTATTTTCTATGTATATTTAAACCAATTAAGCCCTTAATTACTCCCTCGCACTACTGGACGACTGAGGCATTTATCGGACCACGGCTGGGCATCGATCCTACGGAAAAGAATACATTTTAATTGAGTCCTTTTGTTGGTACCGCATAAGACACGATAATATTGAATAAGAACGAATTAGAGAGCATAATTGGTTATTGATAAGTTGCCGTAACCGTAAATACTCCTGGGCGCCGTCAGATTAAAAATGATTAAAAGTCCCTTTCATCCTCTCTGAGTCGTAGTTATCTCGATTGCACCAGTTTGCATAGACAAATAACATATACTGACATACACATTAACACCTATCGAATATTTATTGAATATTAATTAATTTCCTTATCATAGCCTTTGATTGTCTTATGTGGGGCTTTATTGTTTTTCTACCCCCTGCTCGTAATGCTCCATTACGCCCCGCTTATCTATACCCTGTGCCCTTCCTGCCACTACACTGGCTCGAGTTTACAGCGCGGGAGGAAAGGAAATCTTAGACAAAATACGGATACAAATTATTGGAGGTACTCTTAGCATCGATGCTAGATTTATGATTAAGTTTTATTGGCCGTAATGAGACTGTTTTTCTCCAACCGTCTTAATGAATTAATTGCGGAAAACATTTGTCTTCCGAGACACAGCATATTGACGTAAACTAAAAACAAAGGGATTTTGAAATTGGAAATTTATGAACGCACTTTGAGTCTTCATGAAATCTTATTAACGTTGTCTTAAGCAAGCTCGTTTGTCAATCAAAGTGCTCTGTTAAGAATAAGGTTTCTAATGGGCCGATATGGATTTCACTGATGATCAACTAATTCATTGTCTGTGACACTCACAGTAAAATGAATTTTGATGACTGTGAGAAAGTACAAATAAATAGAATTATAGAATTATAGGATATCATTCAAAGGCTTAATAAAAACGGAGAAATGCACAGGATATTTGACTTATGCTCATTTGACAATTAAGCATAACTCATAATTACTATGTAAAATAATCTGATAAAAGTCAATCAAATCTGTCTAATATATATATATATATATATATATATATATATATATATATATATAGAGAGAGAGAGAGAGAGAGAGAGAGAGAGAGAGAGAGAGAGAGAGAGAGAGGAAAATGTCGTCTTGCTCTTTCACTACAGATTAATATGGGGGTAAGTTTTGTATATATATATATATATATATATATGATATAATGACGGAAAGTGTGACAAGCTATCTTGCCTAATACGGTACATTAGACCATTGTTCCAGTAATTTAGTTACACACTACATGTTTCATAACTTCTTACTTGCACAGACATACACAACATCATTTATCACAAGAACTGCGTTACCTTGGCTTTCACTGGAGTCATGTTCCGTGTCCCGACTTTCGTTCTTGTCCTTTCTATCTCCGAGAATGCTCTCAATACTATACGACATGCTTTTCTTTGGCGCTGAGACAACACTCGGCGAGGAACAAGATGTAACTCCGACAGAAACTGCTGCCAAGCAGAGCTTCTTCTCTTCGTGTGTTAATAAAGGAGTCTTCTCCCACATCATTGTGTTATATCAGTTAAATGTTTTCTCCGATTGCTCAGAAAATCCTATGAATTGTCCGTATCACTGACTGTCACTGAGAGTTTAAGACTGGCCTGTCGTGCCGCCAGCAGGTTAATGCAAATGTATCAGTGACACAACACGCATATAGGCATACGGTCTAACACTGGCTCGCTAAATACCACGCTAATGTAATTAGATTAGAATAGTCCGGGTAATAATAAGCCATCAGTTTGTTTGTTAACACGGCATAAACCAGTTGCATGCTAGTACGGATGCAACGTGCGAGCTGATTGGCCAGAGAAAAGCCTCGTTGATGTTGGCACGACCTGCCAGCCCTTCACGTTGATTATATCACAGCAGGGTAGACGGTGATCCATTTAGAGGCGGGGAACCATTATCCTAAATCTATTCTTCGCCTCCTACTTTTCTTTAATCCTCTCGAGGAACCAAAAACCTCCATAAAGCCCCATTCGTATCCCAGCTCCTTGTTACAAGTTTTCCTCAGTGTGAGAATTTGATTGGACTTAAGCCCTTGCCAATTCTGTAATGGTTTTCGGGTCATTAAGACTTTTGTCCCCTCAACAAAAGATTTAATCTAATGAACTGACCAGAGTCTGAAGATCGAACCCACTTCACATTTTATTGAATTTGATGTGTTTATGTGTTTTGTAAATCCCGCAGTTTCGCTTGAATGCTAGCCCAGCTCAAAATGAATGCAGACGCATGGGATGAAGCTTCGTAAGTACTCTGTAATGAACTTCAAATATTTCAGCGCTGGATCTGGAGAGCTAAATCCTCGCCAAATCCATGCCACAATTTTATGGGATTTCAATGATATTATGTGACATTAAGTGACATATAAAACATGCGAAACAGATCATATCACCCGAATTGACACTGCGAGTCGTGGAGTCGTCTCACAAAGAGAGAAATCTTGTTGACATATATCCGCTCAACAAGCTTAGCCTTATAAGATGTTTGGCAAATTCCTTGTGACACTTATCCCCCCTTCGCCCTCCCCACGCCAATCAAATATTAGTTACAGGTCTGCGGATTTATAAGAATTGTTTGTTTACAGTTGTAATCAGTTGCCCTCCCCTCAAATTAGCAAGTCAGCCATGAATAAAATTAGATGCCAACCTGTATAATCCGCCTCATCCTGTCTATATTAATCGGTTGAAAGAAATACCAGAAATACCACAAAATCTCAATGATTTTTTTTTTCAAAACCTACACTTATCTTTTATTAAGGACATTGCCACACACGAAACTGCATGTCCCTGTTTTATGAATGTGACAAGTGTTGTCGTAAACAGGGGCGGCAGAAAGACTGGGACGTGAACAATTTACTTACGCTATCATATATAGAATTTTTCTCTTGTCATTTTCGCTTATCATAAGCAATTGGATTTTCATTAGCATATATATATATCTGCCACCAATCGCAATCACCAATCATTTATATTCTAATTTTTAGGAACATTGTAAATGGACATTGAAAACAAAATCAACATTGTGACTCAACACAAGGCACCGAAGGCGGTGTGGGGGCACTTATTTCTAAAAAGTCAGAAGAGGGTGGATATTAAATCTGCGCTTTATAGCCCCGCTCGGCTGTGTCGCAGATAAAAATGGATGCTACAAAATCGCCTTACTTAAGTTACTCGCAGCAATCATAAGCAAATCTGTTGTGGCTACAAAATTTAAGCTGTTTGTCTGTCGATCGATTTTTATCGCATTTTCGAATTGATATAAGTGGAATATATTTTTGAAAAAAAAAGAGATTTGGTCCTGCCTTGTAATTTTTCTATTTTCCTTTTTTTCTTTCTTTTTAAAGAAAAAGGGAAATTTTAATGAGACCTTCGGAATCCATACTTCAGCAAGAGTGCATGGTGTCTACACAGTGAATATGCAAGAAAGGTTGCATTTAATATTGAAATAAATTCAAAATGTGGAGATCATCATTCGGTGAATACGTCCAATGACCTTCAAGCTGAAGGAGGGGCTGAGGAAGAAACAACATCCAGTACCTAACTGCATGGATTAAAATTCAGAAGAGAATTGACCACCTTCTTTTTAAGAAAACAATTTCAAAATTGTGGAGAGTGAATAAAATGCTTCTTTTTCACGTGTAGGTATATTTAGTTAAATGCTTGCATTAAGCGAAAAATGCATTATTTGGCTGACCCTGTGATCTGGGGATTTGATCAATTCTTGAGACCAAGAGACGAGTTTGAACCCAATTTATCGAAGAGATTTGACACACTGAGTGCAGTTGTTAAAGGAACAACGGTCTTCATTTGCCAAATTGCAAAGTTAATCGTTGGCTTCCCTCCCTAATGCACTGAAGATATAACAAAGCAAAATGCTTTAAACTGAATAATGATCTCGTTCGTCTATTTCGAATTGTTTAGTTGAACCAATTATATAAATAACTTGCCTAGGCTACGACCCAAAGCATTACACCAAATTATCAACCTATTTACATGGAACTATCGTAGCTGTGATCCAGCTATATCGATTAATATCAGCCGGTATATTTGACTGTTTTCTGTGAAGAACCACTTATGTTCTCGCATCATACACGAGCTCGGTAATGAAATTGTATTAGAAACTTGATGAAATTATCTTCACAACACTCGGATCATGTCTTGATTCTCTAATAACGTTGTTATTGTTGGCCTGACATGAGGGTGATAATTGCGAAAATCGTCGAAAATTTCCTTGATTTTCTGCGAATCTTGCTAATTGTGCAAAAATTATCTACTGATCAAGCCTTTGGAATCGAGTCGTCAATTGCTGAGGCCTCAGAGGAGGGGATCCCGATGACATTTTCTTCCATTCCATCAGAAAAAAATATTTTGATGATCTATACATTTTTTCCTTCTGGCAAATTATGGATCTGATTTTTTGTCACCACAACCACAGAACGTCAACCCGAACAATTACCTGTTTAATGCAAATAATACACTATTTCATTGATACGTGAATTCCTCACTAAATACACAAACAGATAAAACAAGGGGTAAAACTGGAGATCACTACTATTCAGTAATAAACCTCTATTGTTATCCGACACGTCAACGCGGTGTCCCTCCCGCATGCGCCCAATGTTTCCAATTTAACTTCATTTTGATGTCCTGTGATAACTACTTGTGATGAGGCACCCTCATTACCCGCCTGAAAACTGCAAATCACATCAAATTAACCACGTGGTGACGTGGGTCCTAGTAATGAGGAGCAAACCGACGCTCGTTATTGCAATTATTAAAGCTATGTTGCTGCGCACATTTTGTATGTGTTTTTTTTATTTCAATATTCGTGATTAGGTTTAAATGCTTTAAAAAGATAATGATATAAAATACGGTATGACTTCCACTTACCGACTGACACGATATGTTGTTTTCAAATGCGTGATAGTGAGCGCTTGCAGGAAATGATACTGGTATGGATAAATGGGTTTATTTTTATGAGAATATCTGTCGCAGGGAAATTAGAGCGTTAAGGGTGTTTATTTTCAGCACACTGTGTTAAAAAGCACGAATGTGCATAAAACGGCCAAATTTGGACTCATGTTGCTCACCTACGTATCATAGTCGATGGTTTAAAAATTAATTCAAATGAACGTGAAAGATATGAAGAGCAAAACTGCAAGGGCATAATAAAATCATTGTGAGCATTTTCACAGGTCAGGAATATTATCATGTCACTTACCCTGTATGTTCCCAGATGACGCATAAAAATAATAAAGACAGGATTTGTTTACTAAGCTGGATGAAGGCCAAAAATAGTTATTGCAAAAAGTATTATCGTATCTGAGAAAAAGCTTAATACAAAAATTTTAAAAATTTCGTTTTCAAAGATAAGCACAAATCTTGACCTATGGAAATACATACAGCTGCACTTTTGTTCGGTATTTTCAGTTGAAGAAATAACAGTTGACGACTGCTTTGAAAGATTTGTTGTTTTTTTTTTCAAAAAATAATTTTCTTTAAGACTTCACATTACAACCATAGAGTCTGCGCAAAAAGATTTTGAAATCTTCATTATGCAGAGGGTATCTAAAAAAAAACGATTGGCTTTTTTGCATCTTTCTCAGTCAGCGTTCCGTCGGGTGGGCAGTCGCGATCTCTAGAAGTTTTCGTAAGGTAATTTTCACGCAACACGGAAACTCAGTAATGGGATTCTATTTGTTTTGTAAAACAGAATTTGTTGACACGACTATTATTTTAACTTACTTGAAGAGGCACGTATGTTAATAGAGCGCTAAACTGGGTTAGGAACAGGAATCATTTACTCAAGTGAATCATTGACTCTACAGATCAAATTCTCAAGAGCAAAAGTGACACGAATTGTGAAACGACTGAGCGAAAAACGGAAGAAATTTTAGCAGCATATTGATTTAACTAAAAGGCTTTTTATCATTCACCAATCACAGTGTATTCATTTGTTGTAGGTTTGATATCAAATTAAACACATGCCTTTTTGATGAGACAATTAAAAGCCTTTCTCTGTTAATTTCCAAGAGAAATAAGCCTAAATTATCGTGAATGTGGTCTGAAGAGGCATTGAGCCAGTGGGCCATATGTGCGACTAATTTTAAACTCCTCGACGGTGTTTTGATTTGATTAAATTTCTAAGCTGGTACACTCCACTGGCTCTCTATCTCACTTGCCTTCCTCAGAGGGAGTTGATCGATGTCTAACATGGACACAATGGCGGCTTGAAGAGGGGCTGTACATTGCTACCGCGTGTGGTTATGGCTCTGTTGTCATAGCAGCCTGAGTTGAAAAATGGTGAGGGATGGGGGGGGGGGGAGAGAGAAACAGAGATAAACCACATAACCATAACAGTTATGTTTCTATGGTATTAAAGAATTAAGCAGTGTATTAAATTGTAAAACGTTTGTGTATAAGAGCTGCAGTGCCTTTGCTGTTTTGAGCTCCAAGATGAAAAGTCTCGCCTGGCACTTGGTCCATGAACTTTGCTGAATTAATATCCGCTACTCCAAGGCCGTTGAACCTTCATGGTGGATGAAAAATGTTCAATTAATTTATAGATGTCCAATATATGGAATCTGTCATAAGGTTCATACCATCTTTAAATAATAACACATTCAGATCCAGTTAACACTATTGACACGTTACTCAGATGACAAGCGATAGATAGGA